TTATATAACAAACGGACATGACTTTGTTCGTCTCTATTGGTTAAGTGAAAGTATGGAAATGATATTGCATACATTACATCTAATTTTCTTTTAACAACTTGAACTTGATCATTGCTTGGTTATAGTCTCGATCGAAGGGAGAACGTGAATGTATTGGCTAACAAAAACAATGAGTAGATATGAACGCATGCAGAAATATTGTACAGACTATACACATAGGTCAGTTTATAACGAGGAGAATAAAATCCCAGTATGATATATGTGAAGTGTACTTATACCCTGTAACTAGTATATGCTAACTGAACCACGTTGGGAGATGTTTATAGACCTACCCTGATAATCAGCAGCCAGAGAAGTAAAGCCACACATCGATGTTTCCCCCTTTTCCTCATCTTCGATGGTGGAAAGTACTGAATGCAGATCGGACGGCAAACACTTTATACAGCTGACGGGTTTATCCGAAACTGCCTTTTAACTTCAGTGACACACATTGGGGCTCACGTGTTTCTTTTTATGTTTCTATTGTGTTGTGAGGCGGAAATGCATCAACGGTGTGAAATTAAAGAAAGCTGTTTTTTGAACTAGTGCTTTTTCGTCCTCTTACTTGTATATGCTAATTGGACCACTTTACGAGATATGCCTACCCTGATACCCCGCAGCCAGAGAAGTAAAGTCGCCCATCGACGTCTTCCCCTTGTCGTCATCTTCAATGGTGGTATCCTTAAACCTGTTTCAAATGTGCTGGATGCCGGTCAGACGCCAAACACTTTGTATATATGTATGTATGTATGTATGTATGTATGTATGTGTGTGTGTGTGTGTGTGTGTGTGTGTGTGTGTGTGTGTGTGTGTGTGTGTCTGTGTGTGTGTCTGTGTGTGTGTGTGTGTGTGTGTGTGTGTGTGTGTGTGTGTGTGTGTCTGTGTGCGCGCGCGCGTTTACGTTGAAAATTTGTTTGTATAGTATGACCAGAAATTATTGAGAATTTTAGGAATATGTTTAATTGCATTTTTAATATAAACAACCTTGACCAGCTATCAAGTGCTTGGTTTCATTCAAGAGAGACAACTCCGTTAATCCCTTTTTCATTAGTTTGTGAAGTGTTATCCCCCTTTGTTTACTTGCTAGCAGACGACATTTTCAGAAATCCTCAGTATGGATGATTTATAGAAGAGGAAGTTTGATTTTAGAGTATTATAACAAGGAGATCAGGTCAGCTAAAGTGATTTCAAGTAGGACAGGCATCCCTCTGTCCACTGTTTATCGGTTTTTTGAAAAATACTGCAAATGGATATGGCATTGAGCACCGGGGAGGCGCAGGTAGGCCCAGAAAATTGACTGTCGGTGACAGGAGGCGGCTTGGTATTCTTGTTTCTAAAAATAAACTAAGGAGTTTAGAAAACCTAAGGCTGGATATGATTGATAGACGAACTGTGGCTGTCTGTAAGGAGACAATTAGAACTGAGCTGCATGCAATGGGTTGGCAGAAATGTCGAGGAATTCCATCACCGATCATGAAACCTGAACAAAAGGAGCGAAGGTTGAACTGGTGCTTACAGCATAGAAAATTTAACTGGGACAATGTGATTTTCTCAGATGAAAGTTCTGTGTGGCTGTTTCCTAATACACTGAAATTCTGGACCAAACAAACTGAAAAACATTTGTATCAGCGCCCAAAGTACAGTCCGAGATTTAACGTGTGGGGTGGCATATCTGTGTTAGGGGCAACGCCCCTCTGTATTTGAAGGGGATATGATCAGTGAGCGGTACACAGATATTCTCGAGGGACATTTACTTCCATCTGTTCACGTGTTCTATGGAAATCTTTGGATTTTCCAGCAGGACAACGACCCAAAACATCGTTCAAAGCATTCACAGGCCTGGTTTCGGACCCAAAATATGACATTATTAGATTGACGAAGCTATAACCCTGACCTACATCCAATAAAAAATGTTTGGGGACTTATGAAGGAAATTGTCAATAAGAAAACTCTAACAAATATTGCTGAAATGAAAGAAGAGGTGGGCCGATATTGGGACAGCATGGACCACGACTTTCTAACTTCTTTGATCAGAAGTATGCCCCGCCGCATTGAAGCTTGCATTGCTGCCCATGCAGACTTTACAAAATACTAACTGTTCACCTGTGTTTGAATCTGGAGTTATGTTCTGCTAATAATACGTGAGTAATGAGTGAAAAAAAAGTTTACAATCTTAAATTCTCAATAATTTCTGGTTGTACTGTAACTGCGATTGTGTGCGTGCACGTATACACGCATATTTGAAAAAAGGGGGTGAATTAAAGGTCACATGCAACGTAAAACACAACTTTGCAGATTCTGATACTTTTTTGATGTGGACCTACCGAAACAAATCATCAAAAATGCAAATTCAACTTTTTAAGTTGAAAAATAACGCAATGAAAAAAAACCACTCGAAATCGGAGTTCAAACGATTCACTAATTTTCCCCCAGCGCTTCGGAAAAAAGTGGTTTCAACAGCTGGGCTGCGCTGCGTTGGGCTGCGCTCATAGCATATGCGCAGTGAAATAGGTTCGCGCAGCTTGGAAGCGGGTTGTCCGGTGAATACTCGGTGAAGGCTTTGGTGTGAGCTATTTTTTTAATGTTTTGTTTATATTTCACAGGCGCGAGCTGTTTATATGTTATGACAGTAGATTGCCGATTTATGTCGTTGTCACAGACAAAACTCAATGTCTGTTTTATCGACACCTATCTGTCTGCCCGCCTGTCTTCTAATGACAATATTCAATACACAACTTCGATCACTGACCACATGCAATGTGAACTTAACACCTATCAGGCTATACACCATAAACAAAACACATTGATTTATGGCCCAAGTTCGGTCTCTGTCCCCATTATGTAATTACACAGACAGGTAGGTGTGATACTTGTACACATGAAATGTTATGATGTCTGTTGATTGCAAGATGTTATACACAAAAAATGAGCATGTATTTACAAAACCCAACATCTCTATATAGACACAAACAATGAGCCGTGAGGGCATCTGCAAATGAACCAGCCGTTACACTTGAGTGCACACCCACCCGCTCTGACTGGGTTCGGTATCCCAGCTTCTTCGTTTCTAGGGAAGTGAACTCAAGTACAAAATACTGCACTTTTGATTTGCGATTGTACGCTTATAAATTTGTTTATACGTTTTTTCATAATCAGCAATGTATATTATATGTCATGAATAAGTGATACTTGTGTTTTAATTATGTTTGATTTTTTGATTGCATGTGACCTTTAAAATAACAATTATGAGCGAAGATAAATCGGGAAGCAGAAACCGCGAATAGAGAGCTAAGGGCATTGTAGGGACAATGACAATAGCAGCCATACAAAGTACGTGGCGAGGGGATGGGGGAGAGTGCGAGTTTCACTTGTAGCCATAGTACCACCAGATATGTTCCTGTTATAGAATCCCTTCATTATTTAAGTGCAGTTAACACCTGCTCACTTTTGATCCCTTCCATACAAAATTAATGCACTCGAAACTTCCGTGTTTAATTCTACAACTTCCTCCCTTTGATCACAAGTTTCTACTTTCTGTGCAAACATTGATGTCCTGTTTCGAATCTGCCGTATCATCTTTGAAATGAATAGAATATCATGCAGTAAATGGCAAAAAATTTTAGAAAAAGGAGAGGGTATATCCTAATATTCCTGGCTAGGTAACATTCCTATACCCTGCTGGGTGATCATTTTCAAATGAACATTTAAATATGCAGATAGTTATAAAAAATACTCCTTACACATCATTCAATAATCATGAAATAAATCTATACAATCGATTTCAGTTTGATAAGACTTCGCATCAAACCAGGTTCCAGTGTCCCTTTTTGCAAAACTTTGAAGCGGAAGGATTGTGATGGTGTTGTGTTTTGTTTTGAAATAAAGTGAATATGGCACTGTAACAAAATCGATAAAACATTTTAGTCTTAGCCGAAATCTCGAGCATGCCAAGTAAAATGGCAATTTTTTTCAGTGAAAGATGCGAATACAAGATTTACCAGGCCCCGATTTCTCGAAACAAAGTTTTTATTCAAATTTCAAGCTGTGTTTGACCAAATCAAACAAGTGAATTTTTAACTCAACTGTATTTTTTAAAATAAATAAGCCCATACAAACTTAAGTAATCTATCCACCAACCTCAAATCTTGAACTATGTTTGAGTTAATATTGATTTCAGTTCATTCTGGAAATGCATTTTCCTGTGTTTTCTCAAATTTGATTAAAAACTCAAACTTAAGTCTAAATTCAGACGTATGTTTGTTTAGAGAAATCGGGGCCAGAACATGTAACACACCTATTTTGAGCTAACAAACTGCACCAGTCTTAACAACTGCTTTCAATCTTAATCTGTTAGATCTGTCTAAATATCATTTTGGAAAATGCAGTTGTTTATCAGCTACTGAAGGCACACTCTCACTCCCGTGTGAAGGAGGCACTTGTAGTGACTGACCTTGCAATGTTTACCACACGCAGGCCCGTACCAGTCCAGTTGCAGTAAGCACGGACAACAATCTTTGAAACCTTTGTCTCGAAATCTCGATATGTGGGGTGAAACAATTGTGGTCAATAATTAAGGCTTAAAGTTTGTTTTATTTGCAATATTGAAATGGCTACTACTTTATAATATCAGAGACAAACATGCAGAGGCTAAAATAATATGTACATTATGTAATAATGCATATTTATAAACTAATCTTTTTATGTCCATCTGTATCAGTAAATACAAGGAAATATTATCTAACATTCATATTTGTAAGTTAGGTGATATATCATTTTAATTATTCCATTCATATCACGGTCAGGGGACACCATTCATGGGCCTCACACAATGTGACAATGAGGGAATTGTACAAAGATTCACCACAAGCGATCAAATTGCTCCTGGTGGGCCAACCTATAATAATGGCATTTTTCTTTCATTCTTCTTATCGGTTGATCAATACAACGTCCAAGGCATCTACACATTGATCTTTTCATAAGGGTCTTTCTGTGAGATGTTCTCAACATCGTTGTCATCCAAAGACTCTATCGTTTCATAAGGGTCTTCCTGTAAGAGGTCCTCCACATCGTTGTCATGTATGACAGTGTACTCTGCATCCTCTGCATCGCCCTTTTGACTCCCCGGGTCAAGGGTCATATCTCCAGGGACTGGGTGGATGTATGACGTAACATTAAGGCGTGTTCCGACTTCATCAAGACGTGCGTGACCATCTGGATATCCGCCTTGTTGGGAGGGCGTTCACTGTCTCATCACAGTGTGTGTCGAGTGTTTCTACATGTCCGTCATGGAGTGCTACTTCGTCACCATGACGTGCGTTGTCATGCGGAGAACCTCTTGCATCCTGTTCAATTACTGGATCAAGGATGAGATCTTCAGAGACTTGTTGGAGTGTTGCCATGTCAGGAAGACTTGCCTTGTCATCTGGAGAAACGCCAAAACCATGTAGACTCACCTGGTCATGAGTCATATCTTCAGATGATAGGGGGAGCTTTGTTGTGTCGTCACAGTTTGTGTCGAATGCTGCTGCATCCCCAAGACGCGCGTTGTCAACTGGAGAAACGCCGAATTGTGCAATCACATCATCAAGAGTCATATCTTCAGTTGCTAGGTGAATGTTTGATGTGACATCAGAGAGTGTGTCAACTGTTGCTACGTCGCCAAGACGTCCATTGTCATCTGGATAACCGCTGAAACCCTGGAGACTCTCTGGGTCAAGGGTCATATCTTCGGGTGGTAAGTGGATGTTTGAAGTGTCATCACAGTGTGTGTCGTGTGATCCTTCATCTACCTCGAGGAAGCGAAGACTTGTGTAACCAGCCTGGAGATTTTCAGTAACTGCACCAGTTGCTTGGAGGTTTCTATTGCATGGTACATCCATCACAAATGAGCTGAGATAATTTTCGTCTCTATATTGTTCCATCTTGTTCCTTGAAATAGAAATACAACGATTGTTAACGTAAATGCTAAAATGCCTCACAATATTCTAGTAGCTGATCAAGATATCTTAATTTGGATTTGTCAACTTAACGTTTCGTGTTTAGGGTTACATGTGTTATCATAACGGCTATCTACAACCACATCATATAAATTGACTGTTCGTTTCCTGTTTAATCGTGTGCATTGCCTGATAAATTGTTTTGTCATTTTTCTAAAATTGCGCTGGTTACATAGATCCACATTTTTCGACAATGTGAAATTTTCCATACAATTCCAGTTCTAATTGTCGGGTCATAATATACGCCTATAATTGCCAGAATATATTTGATACAAGTATGTTAATCAATGAGTATGTCATGTACCACTTACAATCTTCTTCTCCAGATGCAGAAAGCCACAAGAAGCAGTACAGACATCAGGACAAGTCCTACAGGAGGTAGAATGGCCGACACATATTGGTTTGTGTCCCAGCTGTCATGTGGACTCTGAAACACATCCATATTGACATGCAGTAATTTGAATTCAAAACGTCAAAGAACGTTTTCTTTCTCTTCTTTAAATATTCAATTTAAATGGGTTTATTTGTTACTATCAAAATTATGTATATCAAGGACTAAGTGTTAGTCTACCTTAATCCGTACGAGGGACAGTCACTAGGCTAATATTTCTTAAGGTTGCATGGAATTATTTTCCAACTCGGAATCATCAAGACTTATGTATGTTACTTTCCTTACAAGTCTTGATGATCCCGAGTTGGAAAATAATTCCATATAACCTTAAGAAATATTAACCTAGTTACTTGTACGGATTACGGTAGACTAACGCTTAGTCCCTGATATACATAATTTTGATAGCAACAAATAAACCATTTAAAAATTGAAAAGGATCCCCAGTGAATTGGGAGCTAGACTTGCTTCATTTAGGGGCTTTAGCATTGCAAGGAGGGCTAGGCAGGAGGGAAAATAATGTGGTTAAGGGACTGTGAGACAGACTAGGATTACAGGCAAGAAAATAGTTTCAAGCAACCTTCTCCTAATACAGACACCATACATCACTGACTCGACTACTAGAGAACGCCGAATATTGCTGAATGTGGCTTTTCACATATCAAAATCCAATAAACTCAGTAAATGTTACATTAGGTCCTAGAAGCCAATAATGGTATACATAATGGTTACACAAACAGAAGCAAGACATCGGCCACCACTGTTGGCATTGTGGGGGTCACCTTCAGGGTTGCCTTCTCTTCTTCTCGGGGAGGGTACAACGGAAGAGGCAGATATTCATTGATGATTTCATCAGGGTTGGATTCGAAGATTCTAGCTAATGAATCAGTCTGTAAAAAGGAGCCATTCTCCCCAGCAAAATAGAGTTGCACGTACGTTGTAGTATAACTGAAATGCATGTTAAAACACAATCTTTGTTACGAACATGATATTCATTGAGGGACAGAGTTCTCAAACACGGTTTGTTTGACCGGTTCAGCAGCATCTACTTGCATTCTTTCTGTGCTTTCCACAGTAGAGTATAGTTGTACGTACGTTGTAGTATAACTGAAAAACAAGTGAATCATAAACTCAACTGCAGGACGGAACATTAAAATATCAAAGTCACTGTTGAGCCATATGATCTTGTACTAGTCAACATCATTTTGCTTGTCACTTACTTGCTTTCTTTCTTTGTATTTGTTGTAAACTTGACATCCACTGTTCCTGGAATTCCCCCGAGTTCGGTGATGAATCTGTTCAAGCCATCAGCCAGGTCACCTCTATTTGTATGACCGATCTCACCCAGGAGCGTGATGTTGACAATATCTAGGTACAGATTTACAAGAATGTCATTCACATTGAAGTGTTTATAATGGATTTGGACTGGACTTACAGATTTGTAGTGATACTGCTAAATATTTTGAACAGCCGTGAATTTTGAAATGATTGACTTACACTGAACACCCACAGTTCAAAGATAAAACATTCATGAACATAACAGAAAGTATATATTAAGTGTACTTACCAACACTTTGGTTGCATCTTTCTCCTACCCACGCAAAATCACAGTCACACTTGAACCGAGGTGCCGTCAAGAGATCTGGTGTACAATGGCCCATGTTACAAGGGGAACTGTCACAGAAGTTAACTTTATCTGCGCATGCCTCTCCAGTCCACTCAACTGGGCATGCGCAGCTGAAGTCTGTTTCGTTTCCGTCACATGTCCCTCCGTTCAAACATGGCTCCAGTGCACATTGGTTGATGATGTTTTCACATTGCGTTCCTAAACAGAGTAGGAATCACATGGCAAATATATAAACATCACGACTTATTAGATAGACTTCTTGCCATCGGGTAATGTTGCATTTAACGATTTTTAACCACTGTGGAGATTTTACTTTACGGAGTTTATTTTCACAACATGAACTCTTTACGATGTTTCACAGCCATAACAGTTAGGGGAAACGGATTTCAAGTATGGCTGCCATAAATTTGCCAAATACACCCTATATTGCTGGTTCCCATTGAAAGTCTGTCAGTGGATGGAACACAGTCGACTCACCGTTGACCCCTTCCACACAAATGCACTCGAAACTACCAAGTGCATTTGTACAATTGCCCCCCATGTTGACAAATTTGGTCAGTTTCTGTGCATTCATCGATGTCCTGGTTGCAGTTGTCTCCCTTCCAACCTGCAATATAGTTTATTAAAAATACATGAAGTTTATGCGGTAAATTGCACAATGTTTCATAAAGAGTAAACAGTGAAATCCTGTTAATTCCGATATCCCGCTGGATGATCACTGTCAGATGAACGTCTAAATATAGCAAATAGGTATTAATCATTGCCCCTGATTCAATCATCCGAGCACTTGAATGATGCTTTCTGGACACTCGGGTCGCAATGTACTTTGCCTACACTTTAATGCAGAAGGATCGTTATACAACAGAAGACATAAACCCATGTTTTATTTCGAAACAATAAACGGAACGCTTGTATTCCTGTCTGGTCGAAATCTCAAATGGCAATGGCAGATGCAAGATTAACCGGAAAAAATAACACTTTCCATTTTGACCTGACAAAATATAGTTTTTAAATATGTCAACCTTTGGTCAATTAGTAACTACGTTTCGTTTTTCCTTCTCAATAACCCAAAGGTCTATATAATTAGTCACATCAACGTTGCCTCCAACTTTGTGATCATACCTTCAAAGCACATTTTAGCTCCTGTGTAGGGGTGGCACGTGTAGTGACTGTGGTCAGGAGTGGCCTTGCAATGTCTCTCACACGAAGACCCGTACCAGTCCGGGTCACAGTAGGCTCGGACTGCAATCTTTAACCTGGAAAATATATCGCAGTATACAGTTTGAGAATCATAAGCAATCACTTATATAATACGTGTAAACCTTGGGCATGATGTTTACCCACAACAGTCAGATTAACGTTATGTTGGTGCTGCATTGTTTCGAAGTACTTATGAATTAAGAAGATATAAATAATATTTTCTCTGTTCTCTCTCTGCATCATCATATTTATGTCTTAATCTGACTCACACTGTCCTTCTCGATAATGTGTATGGGGTGTACATAGCTGCCTGTTCTGTATGAGCAGCGTGGATGTTGATCAGCTTAGAGAGTGTGTCCATGTGGTCATCACCGGAGGTGTCATCGTAGTCATCCACTTGCACCATTATTTCTATGGAAGACTGGATAACAGAAATTGTAAACACTGTTCAGTTTGGTTCAATGCACCTGAATGGTTTTGTTTTTGTAAGTGTGCTTGTTTAACGCCACCCGCAGCAATATCCCAGCTATATGGCGCTGTTCCTGAATCAATAAGAAGACAAACATATCCATTTACGTTCTATTTGTATGTTGTCAAACGTCCAGGTTCTTACTGCTTGATCACAGTGACTTTTTAAATAATGAAGGGTGAATCAGAGGTTTTTATCAGGACGCAGTGACCCGCTGTCATTCTGAGCTTTCCCTCAGTGACATGATATCACGAGAACTGTGTTTGTTAGAGTCCTCGACTAATAGGGCAGTTTAGGTTCATGTGAGTTGGTGTGCAGATTTATGGCAATTTGACATGTTCCCTCTGTCTGAAATATAGATTGATGTAAAAATCCTACCGGTAGTCCTTTGGGCACTTGTATGATGAAGGGATTTGGTGTTCCTCGAATGGTGCTTCCAAAGTGGATTATGTTATGGTTTTCTGTGTGGTACGTTGTGGTCTTATAAAGAGAGCGTGGCTTTCTTCCGTCTTGGCTGGAATAACATGAGTTTATTGTTTTACACCATCAGATCTACAGGTTACATTGAAAACAAGGAATTCTATGTAGCCAGAATGAATTGAAAACAGAATAGGTATTGAAGGCAGGAATTCATTCTTTTGATAAATAGCTTCAAACGTGCACAACAAATGGCATTCAAAGGTAATACGGAATTAAGTGACAAGCAAAAAATATTCGATTTTAAAAGGAACAACCTTGCCATCCTTGTAGTATTATAATTACATGGTGATAATGCAAACTACACAAGAAGATAAACAAATAAGGATTATAAGGACAACACCAAAAATGTTCTTTATTTGATATAATTATCCATGTTTATTTATAGCAACAGGGACCAAGGTCAATTATTTAAACGACACATACTAGCCTACAAATGGGTCAGAGGATTTGTTTGTTGGTTTATTTAACGCCGCACCAATGTTCCAGCTGTATGGCGGCGGTCTGTAAATATTCAAGGCTGGAACATACAGTCGAGTGTTCAACATCATGAGCATCGATCTTCGCAGCTGGGATACGGTGACATGTGTCAACCAAGTCAGCGAGCCTGACCACCCCTTAACACAAGCATGGGTTACTGAAGATCTATTCTATGCCGGATCATCACGCGTCCCTACAAATTGGAGACTGTAACCAACTGAATATAGCTGGCTAGTGTGTTTTCTCGATAAAAATTATAATGTACCTACCCATCAATGCGCAAGCAAAACATAGGGTCACACGTATTTCTGCACAAATCAGGGAGCTCATTGTCACAGCAGCGTCCACTGTTTTCCTTGCCATCTGACCAGTAACTGATGAATCGAATGTCCAGTTTACCGTCAGTCTTCACATGCTGTAAATCACGAAGATAGATTGAGAAAAAGGGTAAATGTATAAATTTTGATAATCTCGAATATGATGTAACCACACGACTTTCTACCGGTATATATTGTCCCCAAAGCATTTCCCAATTGAAAACTGTGTTCAATCCAAGAAAATCAGGAATCCAATGTTAAATCTTGATGATCAGTATTCGAAATCTGGCGATATGGCTGAAATATTGCCGATGTGACTTAAAATCTTAATTCACTCACTCACTCGAAATCCTTAAACATGTCATGCTGTTGACTGGTGAACATGACATTGCCTTTATTCACAATTACATCTAGTTCAAAAGACATTGGCATTTCCATATGTGGCTACTTGGGTGGCTATGAATGTGTTCTTCAAGTATATTTTATGCTGCAAATAAGGGTTTCCGAGATTGGCATGCACCCATGCAAATGTGATATACAGTATCCACATTGTAGTGCACAATTCTTTAATTTCAATAGTGCGAAAGGATATAATTCTGTACCCTTACACATATCTTTCCCACATGCAACTGATTATTTATGGCGTTCACTTATCATTCATACCTTAAGTTTGCGTTGAGGTTACCTGCTATTATATATATATTAATAGTGGATATTTGTAAAGCGCCAGTGTCCACCCACTGATGCATGCTCATGGCGCATTAAAACTATTTACAGAAATAGGGAAAATGTCAATTGTAGGCTTCAGTAAAAAGGAATGTCTTTAGGGCCTTCTTAAAAGAGTCCAGGGTCGGGGTGCGTTTGATTTGGACCGGTAGAGAGTTCCATAAGAGAGGCGCGACATTCTGGAAACTCCTGTTTCCAAAAGAGGAGAGCCGAGCTTGAGGAACTTTGAGGAGCTGTTGATCCTGGGAACGTAGATCTAAAAGAGACAGCGTTGCCACGTCACCAGAATCCACTAAGATACCTTAGATCATTAACAGCTCTCAGGTGCAAGGTCTCTGTTGAATGCTGCGGACGGTAAGCAGACTGATATTGACTATCATATGTATATATCTGTAAACACGCCTGGTCAATATAAGGCATGGGCTAAATGTCCACGGCGAAGCAATTCGGGCCAGACTCCTATGATCATGGGTTTAAATCCAGTTTTCACTCTGATTATACCCCGTTTGCGCCAGCCTGGCTTTATCCTATGATCATGGTTTTAAATCCAGTTTTCACTCTGATTATACCCCGTTTTCACTCTGATTATACCCCGTTTGCTCCAGCCTGGCTTTATCCTATGATTATGGTTTTAAATCCAGTTTTCACTCTGATTTTACCCCGTGTGCTCAAGCCTGGCTTTATCCTATGATCATGGTTTTAAATCCAGTTTTCACTCTGATTATACCCCGTGTGCTCCAGCCTGGCTTTATCCTATGATCATGGTTTTAAATCCAGTTTTCACTCTGATTATACCCCGTTTGCTCCAGCCTGGCTATATCCTATGATCATGGTTTTAAATCCAGTTTTCACTCTGATTATACCCCGTTTGCTCCAGTCTGGCTTTATCCTATGATCATGGTTTTAAATCCAGTTTTCACTCTGCTCCAGCCTGGCTATATCCTATGATCATGGTTTTAAATCCAGTTTTCACTCTGATTATACCCCGTTTGCTCCAGTCTGGCTTTATCCTATGATCATGGTTTTAAATCCAGTTTTCACTCTGCTCCAGCCTGGCTTTATCCTATGATCATGGTTTTAAATCCAGTTTTCACTCTGATTATACCTTGTTTTGTCAGCTCCAGCCTCGCTTTATTTAGTGGGCATCCATTCCTGCAATTTTCAATCCCTTCACAATTTTATTTCTATAAAAATTGAATTGCGTTTATTATGAATTTATGATTTTTTAAAGTCACGATATGGCTGAAACTCACTCACTCATTCACACCTGCAATTTTCTCATATGAAGCTGAGATGCTGTGATATAACTGAATTTGTGTTCAAAGTGACGTAAAACCAAATCCACTCCATCCATCTAGAAAAGTTTCCATTCAAAAAGTGATATTGTGACTTCTATTTCACGCTTTCAGCAACTTCACTCAGCAACTTCACTCGGCCCGGCTTTGTCCCAATGACATGTAAATAGAAGCGACAAAACCCTTTCCACACCCATAAGAAATTTCTGCTATGTGACAAAATCATGAGCATATGTTTTGTCAGCAGGATTACAGCTGTACAATGTTGTTTGTAAACAAAGCGAGTCTACACCAGAACATCCAGTGATTGTCACCATGCGAAATGACAGAGCACGTGTTTATGAATCACTATGAAATAGTGACGATACCAGGTGTTCGCGAAAAGGTGAGCGTATCTTGCCCCATCGGTGACGCCTGTCATAAACATATGCAAAGTCAATTGTTCACCTGAAATAATTCGGGAACGTATGGTATAAGTCAAAACAGGGAATTGCACCTGACATCATTATTGTCACTTTTGTACGTTAAAAGTTGTGAAATGTAAACACCGAAGGCTGCAGCTGTTGGTATATTGCTCTGATGCATCACATGCCCACCACATGTCTTCTATAAAACTTTTTGAAAGCCCTCCTTGGGCCTTGAATGTAGTCGCTTTGATCAAACTTCTGAGCAAGAGTTGTATGACGCTCTTTGAAATCTTGTTGAAAGGCCATGCTCAATTGTACCTCAAATGTAAACACCAAAGTCTGGAGCCGTTGGAACATTGCTTAGCATGAAAGGAAAGCTGACTTTTGGGAAGTTGAAATCATCCCTTCTGTCATACTTCCTTGTGGATAGTTTTTTGTCACTCGGAATCTTTATGCATAGATTTATATATGAAAAAGGCGTTCTCACTTGTCTACTAAATTTCAAGATCAGATGTGGCCCTATATACATTATGATATGTCGTTTGATATGTTATATTAAATACGATATTTCGGATATGACACTTTATACAACTTATGTTGGATGTTGCGCAATATACAGCATATGTTGGATGTGACCCTGTATACAATATGCTATGTCTGGTGTGACGCTATATGCAACACTGTATGCTACGTGTTGCGCTATATAAAACATGATATGTTGGGTATGGCACCACATGCAGCACCCTATACAGGCTGATATTTCAATGGTCTAACTATGTTATATCCTGGTATGTTGGATATCTGATTATGTTCATGTATTTGTATATGTCATCATGTAAAGACTACCGTTTATGACGGAAGACTTTGGTTTCATGAAAAAAATAAAATTAAAAAATCAAGTTCAGGTGGGTACCTTGGCCAAATTAACTTGTTTTGATTTTGCAAGGCAGAAATAAAAATAAGGAACAGATCCACACGGGGAGCACAGTTAGTGCCCATGGGTATGACTACATCTTGTCAAAATATTTTACCCCCAAATTTTACAAAGGTGTTATCAATGAGAAAGTCCAGCCTGTTACATATTGTTTTCACATTATATTGAATTTGCATCAGACTAATCAGTAAAAGACAGGATGAGAGATATGACCTCACTCTAATAGGCTTGTGATTTGTATAATCACCTTGTCCTCATTATTCGATTGCATTAGAAATTCGTTTCGTTTAAAGGCACTAAATCACCCGACACTTCTCTAAACATAAATGATGCATTTCCCTCTATAATACTAACTATGAGTCTCCACGGAAGCTAACATATAATTCATTCCCCCAAAAATACGTCTTTAGATACCAATATCAAATTTAAAAGTTCGAGTGAGTGAGTGAGTTAAGATTTCAAGTCACATCGGCAATATTTCAGTCATATCGTTAAAATTTCGAATGAATCAATACAACGTTGCATTAAATCGACTCTCGCGCCCTCTACCGGCCGCGTGCCACAGTTTCCGGTGTACGGAGTACTTGTTTAATTCCATATATGGCAAGTGTTCTCTGTTTGGAAGCTGTTCGCCTCGAAGTTTCCATTATCGATTCAGGCAAGTCGTTTTAAGTCTTTAATTGCCTCACTAAGAAAATAAGGTGAGTGCATATGCCCCAATATATATAATATAGTCAAAAATACAGAATGCCAAAAATGTGTGACATTGTGCCTTCAAGACTAGTAGAAACTGTATTTCGCTTTTTCCTTTTGAAATAGTGTGTGACACGGGCGGATAGCTCAAAGCCAGGTATCCACTGAACACTCTTGTTACAATGCTCTCGGGTGTAAATTTGAGGAAGTAAATGCTCATCTCATCAAGAAAGAAATATAATGGTTGTCAGCTCGTAATTATAAGGTACCTAGAAACACGGCCTGAGGCTTTCAAAACTCCAATGCTATCATATACACCGGACACAAACCCTTGTTATATAATATGTACATGTTGAATGTGTGGCGCGTTTCTCTGGTATACCTTCTTCTCCGATGCAGGGGCAAAAAGTAGCCCGTAACAATCATCGTTTAAAAACAGATGAAGATAACATCAACGACTTCACACGTAAGATCTGCATATATATATATACTCACGTAGACAATGCACGTCAATCAATTTTTAGCGTGGAGAATATAATCACAGGATGATATATGTGGAGTGTACTTATGTCCTCTAACTAATATAAGCTAAATGGACCACTTTGAGAGATGTTTATATGCCTACCCTAATAATCAGCAGCCAGAGAAGTAAAACCCTTGTCTTCATCTTCGGTGGTGGTATCCCTTACACGTGGGCTGATAGTGCTTGATGCAGATCGGACGGCAAACACTTTATATGGCGGATTGGCTGATCCATAGGTGGAAAATGCCTTTTAACTCAACGCGTTTCACATGTTTCTTTTTCAGTTACTTGCGTTGTTATGTTGCGGAAATACTTTATATGGCGGATTGGTTTATCCATGTGTCGACATTGCCTTTAACTTCAGTGACATACATCGAGTTTCACTTGTTTCTTTTGTATGTATCTTTTATGTTGAGTTGCGGAAATACAACGAGCGTGTGACATTAAAGAAAGCTGTTTTATATGAGCCAGTAACAGTGGGTGAGATAATATTTATCGTCACATCGGCAAAATTTCAGCCATATCGTGACGAGAACAATTAATTATCAGTAAAGATCAATAATATTAGAAGCTATAAAACTGTTTACGATGAACAGTAAAACTACTAGTGTATCACAGATGGAGATATAAAACTAGCATGTAACTGAAACCTTACAGTATAATGCAAGACAATACAATATAAAAACGGGCTATAGATCACCATACTAGAGACCATGGGGATTTATAGTACTTTGGCTACCTGCATGGACCAAAGACGGATGTATATCATGCTCAGTCGTTGGTGATTGTAGTTAAATGTAGCCATAACTTAAAAACGCAAAAATACTGCGTTTTAAAAATTCGGTAAGTTTATTTTACTTTGAATGTTTTGGGACATACGTACATCCCAACCCCACCCACCCCAACAGGAGAACAATAATTTTACAATACTTTGAAACAGTGACAGCTGTGTAAACTAACCAATGTGGGATATTGGAGATGTGTTCCTAAAGGATATGAATACCGGAAATAAATTATGTAAGGGCCTTAATGAATGACGATGAATGAAGCACATTTGAAAAGTTTTTGAAACTTATTCCAACCCAAATAACCCATAGTTATTAGTTATGCAATACATTAATTTAGTCACTTTGACACTATTTCATCCATATCACAGACTCTGGTTTGGTTCGCAGGACGACAACACAACTGCTGTCACTGATGTTCACAAGTGCGTGCTTTCTCTCTTCTTTTAGTGTAGATTGTTCCGAGTATATTGCCTTAATTCAAGGAAACAGGACATTTTTTGTAAATAATTAAAAAATGTATTACCTGTTACTATCTGTTGGGTATTATAGCATGACCAGAAATTATTGAGAATTTTAGGAATATGTTTAATTGGATTTCTAGTATAAACAACCTTGACCAGCTATCAAGTGCTTGGTTTCATTCAAGAGAGACAACTCCGTTAATCCCTTTTTCATTAGTTTGTGAAGAGTTATCCCCCTTTGTTCACTTGCTAGCAGACGACATTTTCAGTGATCCTCAGTATGGATGATTTATAGAAGAGGAAGTTGAGTTTAGACTATTATAACAAGGACATCAGATTAGCTAAAGTGTCCACTGTTTATCGTGTTTTGAAAAATAAATGCAAATGGATATGGCATTGAGCACCGGGGAGGCGCAGGTAGGCCCAGAAAATTGGCTGTCGGTGACAGGAGGCAGCTTGGTATTCTTGTTTCTAAACACAAACGAAGGAGTTTAGAAAACTTAAGGCTGGATATGATTGATAGAGGAACTGTGTCTGTCTGTAAGGAGACAATTAGAATTAAGCTGCATGCAATGAGTTGGCAGAAAAGTCGAGGAATTCCATCACAGATCATGAAACCTGAACAAAAAGAGCGAAGGTTGAACTGGTGCTTACAACATATAAATTTTAACTGTGACAATGTAATGTTCTCAGATGAAAGTTCTGTGTGGCTGTTTCCTGAAATTCTGGACCAAACAAACTGAAAAACCTTTGTATCAGCACCCGAAGTACAGTCCGAAATTTAACGTGTGGGGTGGCATATCTCTGTTAGGGACAACGCCCCTTTGTGTATTTGAAGGGAATATGAACAGTGAGCGGTACACAGATATTCTCGAGGGACATTTACTTCCATCTGCTCACGTGTTCTGTGGAATATTTTCTTTGGATTTTCCAGCAGGACAACAACCTAAAACATCGTTCAAAGCATTCACAGGCCCCTGATTTCGGACCCAAAATATGACATTATTAGATTGGCCAAGATTTAGCCCTGACCTAAATCCAATAGAAAATGTTTGGGGACTTATGAAGGAGAGTGTCAATAACAAAAATCTGAAATATTGCTGAAATGAAAGAAGAGGTGGGCCGATATTGGGACAGCATGGACCACGACTTTCTAACTTCTTTAATGAGTAGTATGCCCCGCCGCATTGAAGCCTGCATTGCTGCCCATGGTGACTTGACAATATACTAACTGTTCACCTGTCTTTGAATCTGGAGTTATGTTCTGCTAATATTCACATTAATACGTGAGTAATGAGTGAAAAAAATATAAAAAATTACAATCTTTAAATTCTGAATAATTTCTGGTTGTACTGTAGCTGCATGCTGTGTTAGTGTGGGGCGCTACAGGTTGGGCGGAACATTCTTACCCATTCTGCAATTACCAGCCGTCACTGATTTGCCGTCAATTCATTCACATTACTCGCACAGCCATTTAGCTCTTAATGCCAGATAGAATCTGTTCCGGAAGATATTCAAAACAGCGTTTATTCTCATGCAGTAGCACTTTTATGTTTACTTCAGCTGGGTCGAAATTCTGCTGGTGGTGTAAAGTCAGTGATTAGCCAAATATCCTTTACCCATGCTGAATCTACAACAAAGAATTGCTTTGGCTGAGCATTAAATTTTCCCCTACTCTCTGTTGCATAAGGGAGATATTTCTGAACCCTTATTTCTTTACCTTAAGAAGCACAATGTTCGTACTTGTACACAGCAGACGGAATTAAAAAATATTATAACCTTTCCAGCATACATTATCAGGTGTCTGGACTTTCTGGTCCGTCGATTGCTTGATTGTCTGACCACCACCGAAATTCAGGAGTACCGCTGTGCAATGTCAGGCAAGGAAGGAATATTTTTATGGGCAGGACATGCGTGTCCTTCGCAAGAACACCTGGAGTCATCGAAAATGTTCAGTGATCCATTGCATGGAAGTCATTTAATATTGTATGTCAACCCTGTCTGGAAAGGTCGATAAGTTGAGTGAAACAAGTATGGCGAATAACAGTGAATAATAAAAGCTTAAAGAGTAATTTCAATTTAAGCCAAATGCAATCTGTTTTGGGGAATATCAGGTTATTATCTTGCATGGGCGTTTTATCATTCATGCTTGTCATTCTAGAAAGGCCAACGAGTGAAGTGAGACAGTGAAGAAAACAAGCTTTAAGAGTAATTTTATTTGCGAACCTGAACTTGCAGTTAGTCTGTAATGATAGTCCAATGGCTAATACAGAATATACTTAGATTAATTAGGCATATTTACAACAAGTCTCCGTCTGTATCAGTAAATAAATGAAAATAGTCTGGACATACCATGGCTAATGACTACGTAGCGTCAGAGAGAGCTTAAACAATATTCCATTCACTCACGGCGGGGATCACCATGAATGGGCATCGTACATTGTACCCATGGGGAATCTTCCCAGGTAACCTAACATATAGTGATTCATTAGATCACTGTAAGTAGATCATACATATAGTGTTCACAACATGGGTCCCACTTGGAATTAGAACCCCGTCAGCCGACATCGTGCAAATCAACACGTGCAATGCGATGCCCAAGGTAACTAAAAATCATCTGTTCATAATGACATTGCACATTGTACCAGCAGGGAATCGGAAAGGATTTACTGAAGGCTAATCCTTGCTCCAGGTAACCTGGCATATGGGCTTAGAATTTACACTTTGCTTACCCACAATTATCAGATCATTCTAAATAGATCCTCCCTGGGGTGTTCACAATCCGTTGAACTAGAAACCTGGTCAGTCCTAGTGCAAGACAACACTGTAACCACTGAGCTATTAACCGATTCTGATGCACTCGGACAGCCTACGATGACAGTTTGCTGTTCGCACTTCCGGTTCTCAATCAGTCGCATTGCAGAGAAGCCATTAATATCTTACATAATTATAGGCTGACAAATACATCGTCCAAGGGAGCTAAAAATTTATCTTTTCATAAGGGTTTGTCTGTGAGATGTTCTCAACATCGTTGTCATCGAAAAATTCTATCGTTTCATAAGGGTTTTCCTGTAAGGGGTCCTCAACATCGTTGTCATCGATGACAGTGTACTCTGCTTCATCTTCCTCATCCTCTAGACTCGCCGGGTCAAGGGTAATATCTGCAGGGACTGGATGGATGTATGAGGCAACGTGGAGGCGGGTATTTAGTTTTGCCTCGTCATCGTGAAGATTGTTGTCATCTAGAAGCACTGGATCGAATATCATATCTTCAGTTGCTATGTGGATGTGTAATGTGTCATCACAGTCTGTGTCGAGTGATCTTTCATGGTCATGGAAGTGAAGACTTGTGTAGCCACTTGGAGATACGCTTGCATCCTGACGTGTGCCTGTGACGTTACCTGGTCTGTTTAGGCTCCTGTTGCATGCGACATCCATTACAAAAAGACTGATTTGATCGTCTTCCAAGAATTGGTCCGAGTTGTGTCTGGAAATCGGAAAAATAACACAATAAATTGTTGCTTTTGTTGAATATAATCTCCTAAACTACTCTCGATATGACATTCAGATATGAAAATACTATTTGAAATGGTCTTACATATGTTTACAACATGGTTATACAGAATAGTAAACCCATGATTCTATCGTGTGTGCGTGTGAGTGTGCGTGCCTGCGTGAATGTGTGTGTCTGATTAAAATAATTACGTTACTCAGAATATCTGTCGTCTTTGCATGTTAATCAAAGGGAATGTCATGTGCAACTTACGATCTTCTTCTCCAGATCCATAAAGCCACCCAAAGTAGTACAGTCATAAGGGCAAATCCTAAAGGAGTTCCAATGGTCTTCACGTAATGGCCCTTGTCCCAACTGTTACGCGATCTCTGAAACAGCAGGTTTCATCAGTAGTCAATTGAACAAATATAGTCAAATGGGGTTTTCACCATAAACTTACATATATAAATTGGAACTGTGAAGGTAACAGTATTATTGCTTTTGCTTTCAAATGATACTTTAATGAGTTGCAGTTATATTTAAATCTTTCAATCAGGACCAGGTTTTGTTCTGTTGTATTACTTTGTAGAGACATGCGAGGATTCCAGTTACGTATTTTCCAGCAACCTAAGCATGCTGACAAAAGAGTGAGTGAGTTAGTTTAGTTGTACGCGGCTGTTAGCAATATTCCAACAATATCAGAAATGGGCTTCACACATTTTACCCATGTGGGGAATCGAACCCAGGTCTTCGGCAAGACGAGCGAACGCTTTAACCACTCGGCTACCCCACCGCCCTCGACAAAAGAGACGTCGATCTGGATTGAGTGGTCTACTGACTTCACTGATGACATGTCAATGTATTACAGACTGCCGTCAGAGAGTATTTACTGCTTAGCGTCACACAACAAATATATACTGAACCACAAAAGAAACGTCGCTTTTCAAAACCAAATGCAAAATTTGGTTCTTGCAAGGTGGTGTTTTTATTATGATTGTACCGTTTTCTTAACATGTTTTCAATCCAAATTGACAGTTATTACCAACATCAGTGTGTTTTCTGACCAAGCGCACCGAAGAAGGCAGACGTGGTAAAAGGTTCCGTATGACATTCGTAAAAATGAAAATGCACGTGCATGTCGTGACAACCCTACCAATGAAAGCGAGTCCCAAATTCGCCTGAAATCATATTTGTTTTGACACAACCACCATGCCACGTCTTACGAGAGATCAGAGGAACCAAGTCGTGGGACGCTTCCCTAAAGCGACGGAAACAGCACGGCAGACCATTGGGACTCATAACAGACCCATCAGTGTCACAGATCATATCCTAGTCCTGTCCTCACCGCTCATCACCGCCTGACATTGTGTTTCGACAGTCGATGGCAGGGTGAGAGTATGGCGAAGGCGTGGTGAAATGTTTTCCAATGAGTGTATTGTTGAAAGAGACTCGTGAGGTGGTCTAAGCATCATAGTGTGGGGTGCAATCGGTCTGAACCAGTTAGTTAATACCGTGGTGTTCCAGAATCTTGGTCCTGGATGAATAAATGACGTGACAGCTGCTCGCTATATTGATTAAGTCATAAGACCCCACGTTGTACCACATTTTGGACGTTACAGAAATCACATCTTCCAGCAAGACAACGGTTGTGCCCACACTGCCAGAGCAACATTGGACTTCCTAAGACAACAAGGCATTTAAAACCCTACAATAGCTTGCACTCAGTCCGAATTTAACTCTAGTAGGGACGAGATTCAAAGAAGACTGAATGGCCTCCAACCAAGGCCGACAACTACGGCTAGAGTCGATCAGGCATTTCGCGTATGGACCCAAATGCGTATGATCTTCATCGACCGGCTAATTCATTCCATGTACAGACGATGCAACGATTTCAACGATGCTCATAGAGGCCACACACGATACTGACTTTGGGGTATCTTTATGGTACCATTTTTGGTGATTTTGTTTGTGTGAACTCTAAATGTGTTTCCCGAAAATGTGTTAACCATAACTGTCAAGTTTGAACTCAGTCCTCGTTTTGATTGTTAATTTGAGTAAATTAAAGTGTGTGCCTTAAGAAACCCCTATCGGTGCGACATTTCTTTTTGTGGTTCAGTATACAAACATTCTTACAAAGGACAATCACATGTCATGTCATGAGCTAAATTCAAATTTGGCATAGGTTGTTTCGTTGACATTAACACGATATCGAAATGAACCTCTGTTGCCATCGTTTGGAACACCGTGATCTTCGCCTTCTCTTCTTGTTGACGTGGGTACAATGGAAGAGGCAGATATTCACTGATGACTTCGTCAGGGTTGGATTCGAAGATTCTATCTAATGAATCACTCTCCAGAAAGGAGCCGTTCTCCACAGCAAAATAGAGTTGTATGTACGTTGTAGTATAACTGAAACATATATTCAAACACAAACTTAGTTATAACCTTGACATTATTTGCAGGAAGATTGAAGTCATTGTAAACCGCTGTTTGTTTCACTGTTGGGTGCATTTCAAAACACCAACTTGATAGAGATCGTACGATTCATTGCAGGGTAGGACGCTTAATATACTGACATCATTGTGTGCCGGCACAGCAACACCCTGTTCATCACTTACTTGCTTTCTTTCTGTGCGTTTGTTGTAAACTTGACATCCACCTTTCCTGGAATTCCCCCGAGTTCGGTGATGAGTCTGTCCAAGCCATCAGCCAGGTCACCTCTATTTGTATGATCAATCTCACCCAGGAGCGTGATGTTTAATATATCTGAATGCACAGAACTTGCGGTTCTTATAAATATGCATCGAATACGTAAATAGCTAGTAGACAACCAAAGAGCATGAAAGAAATATTCCATTTAGACAAGAGACATAGGCAGAGTAATCGTACATTGAAACTGTGTTTATTGTGCGATAGTTCATGATGCCGGAAATGACGCTAAAATAAAAGAAAACAATTCATAATTACAGCTCAAAGTTGATAAACTGAGATAACATTCCACTTACCTACGGCATGACTGCATCTTTCTCCTACCCACGCAAACTCACAGTTACACTTGAACCGAGTTGCCGTCAGGAAGTCTGGTGTACAGTTCCCTCTGTTACAGGGGGCGCTGTCACAGAAATTCACCTTCTCTGCGCAGGTCCCTCCAGTCCACTCTTCAGAGCATGTGCAGTTGAAGGCTGTTTCGTTTCCGTCACATGTCCCTCCGTTCAAGCATGGTGCCAGTGCACACTGGTTGATGATGTTTTCACATAGCCTTCCTGAACAAAGTTGAGGAAGTATTTGACAAGAAACAAGCAGCATGTAATGGACACCTTGCATGACCGTTGAGTTAAAAATGCATTTGATGTTGTTTAACCCTTTAATTACACGCCGAAATCACTGGTGTTATAGGTCAAGTACTTTGTCACGTGTTTATTTGCAACACTTGCCATAGAGGTACACAAAGTAGGTTATCTTGACAACCAGGTAGACTTTGTCTTTGCTTAAGCGCGCTAGCTGTGTGGGTTAGATCGCTGACGTTGTGTGCTGGCGATTAAATGCCTGACTCTGAGAGTGTGAGTTCGAATCCCGGACCGGAATCAACCCCTAAAAGTACTTGCGTCTGCACGTCTCTGAGAAAGACATAGTGTAATCCCAAATTGTTACTAGTGTAACTGGGACAGGATCACCCACAGTAAAACTGGCGATCCACAGGGCCGTGTTCTTTCACAGCTTTTATTCATCTTATTTGCAAATGTTTGTTTTAATACTTCTGATAACTGTTTTAACTGGTGCTACCAGTTTGACAGAACTTGCTTAGTTAAGACTTTTTGGCACTGGCGTCCTACATAACAACTAATTATAGCTCTCTACGGCTAGTAACTCAGAAAAAAACACATTGTAGAACAGAAAGTATAAGTTTTACGACAAGGTGGATAGTAAATCACCAATAAGTGTTGTATACAAGGTAACTGAAGATAGAGAAGTCATTGATGATTATTAATACCGTCGTACGAATCTTGATTCAAAACGTTTAAAACAAATACAGATCAACTATAAGAACGGTCTCTAATATTTCACTCTTCGCTTAAGGCATTTTGAAACTAATAAAGCCTCTAATCAAATTGTTTTATAAACCATTTAATCACACCTTTTTGACTTTTAACTTAAATTGTTGTTGGAATTGTGCTGTTCAACAAAAAAACATAATACTCAAACGTATCTATAGCGCTCATAACATCATTGCTTTTTACCTAATGACATCACCAATTCTAATGAGTATCAAAGTCTCCCTTTAGTGAGGAAAATATATAATAAACGGAAACCAAGTTTTACCCCACATTATGAATTCTCTCTCCCCACCCCCATTTCCGGACGACGTCTGAGAATGGAACTACTGTAAAACCGTGTTCCATTGTTGTATATTGTTGTTTAACAGATCCCGTTAGCCGTAAACCAATTGCAAATCTTATCTATTGTCTTGTGTTTCTCCCTTTACTTAGATCCTCCTATGGAGAGACAAATTCATAATAGAAACGACGTTTTACAACCAAACCAGGTGGGGACACATATTGCATGTATTGTAGGCTTCGAATCAGAAACGACTCGTGAAAATTCGGGTTATAATTGGTCTTCAGCAACCCATGCTTGTCGTAAGAGGCGACTAACGGGATCGGGTGGTCAGGCTCGCTGATTTGGTTGACACTCCTCATCGTATCCCAACCGCGTACATAGGGGTTCATGATCACTGGATTGTCTGGTCCATACGCGATCATTTACGGAACACAGCCATATAGCGTTAAAAAAAACAAAAAAAATCAATTCGAAAATGCTCTCTGTCTGGCCTGGGCCTGCAGGAATCAGAATGTAGACACAATGTAAATTAATAAGAGATGGCGACAACTCACCAGTGATCCCCTCCATACAACTGCACACAAAACTTCCGAGTGTATTAGTACAACTTCCCCCACGCTGACACAAGTTGTGAATTTCTGTACATTCGTCGATATCCTGGTCGCAGTTATCTCCCTTCCACCCTGCAATTGTATGATTGAAAAGAATTGAATATGTTTACATAAAAGAATATATATTACTCAATACTCAAGGGGGTTATAATCTAAGCTAAGGGATCGTTCATGATTTATGGCTGGGGAGGGGTGTGTGTGGTGTGGAGTGGGAAAAAAAAGAGATTTTATGGAGAAGCAGAAACTTTCCCAAAATTTATGTACAAATTAAGTGACAACTCACTCGGCGCCTGCATGTCATGTACAAAACCAGTGACTCCCCCCGTAGTTCATATGAACAAAAATTATGTCCCCCTTACCTCCCCAATATGGGAAATGATTACCACCCGTACCTCCCCAGAGCAAAATGGGTGACCCCCTTAAAATCATCATCACCCCTAACCCCACTCATCAATCATGAACGGTCCCTATGGAGAGTAGATAAACGACCTGTAACACAATAAGCAGCATGCCGCTGTGTTGGCCCATGACACTAATCTAGTGAGACAGACGCACTATTTCTCTGCCACCTAGCTGACCGGTGCGTGTCTGGCTGAGAAACTATATTTCACTAAAAAGTCAGGACATGGTCTTTCGAACGCTTAAACAATGTCACACCAGACATTAACGAGGGAAGTGATTCATGTGGTGGATAGAACCAGGAGCAAATGCATCAGACACTAATCCAGCGTGACCGGTGTACTGCCCACTGTCCCTCCAGACTGACCGGGATATGACAAGTAGGAGACCATATCTCACTAGAAGTTAAAAACAAGGAGTTAAGAAAACTGACGTGAAACAACACACTGGACATTGGCCACGAGGATGATTAATCTAGTGGACTTAGCTGGATCAACCTGCCAGATTGTTTGTGGCCGGTATGACGTTTAAGAGAGGGGGGGTACGCTGGTTAAAAAGGCAACCAGGCCCCACTCTCAAGCAGAACCCAACTGACTCTCACAGACGACGCTACTGCCAGCTGAGAGGGACTCTCTGCCTGCCTCTACCTACAGCTGTTTGGACCCAGCCGGGACCATGCTGACCAGACCAGCCCTGTGGACTCTGTGATGGGACTGTGACTGAAATAAATATTTCAATTCCTTGCAAACCTTTTGTTGTCGCCTGTTTTACTTTGTTACAAGTAAAGGCGATGCTCAGGGTTCTTTAACTGGTGCCGAGACCAGGATATCCATTGGAAACGAACTTTCGAGGAGGAAAAAGCTACGTGGAGACTGGCCCGACGAGAAAACGAGTGAGTAGACAAGGGTTTTGTTGTTAGTACTCTCCAATATTCAAAATGGCAAGCCAGGAGTTAGGCGAGTTTCTTCAAGGTTTGGCAAACCAAATTTCAGGACAGTTGTCCAGTTTATCATCAAAAATAGGGACACAAGGAATATCCTCGGTAGTTCGGAGTTTCGATGGAGACCCCAAAAGGTACAAGGAATGGATTAAGGCCATTGAAAAGTATTCGGTATTAACCAATTCAAATTCAAACCAAAAAAAAATGATAGCATACCAAACTAGCGCAGGGGCCGTCAGTGACTTTATACACAGGTTTATGAATGACCACGAGCAGGCAACGTGGGAAGAATTAAAAGTAGAACTAGCAAGGCGGTTTGCAGAAATAACCGATCCACAACATGCTTTTATGTTACTCCGATCCCTCCGGCAAAAGCATGGTGAAAGCGTACAGCTATTTGCTGAACGCCTACTAAATTTAGCGGAGGAGGCATATGCAGGTTTAGGCCCGGATGGCAACAGTATGGCAGTGGAGAGGCAACTTGTGGGGTTCTTTATAGATGGGCTTGCTTTCGACTACTTACAGAAGAAATTAATGAGAGAAAACCCGCCAAATTTGGCGACAGCTGTCACCTCGGCCACACATGAACAAAACATTAGGGCTCGTTTCGAACTAAGGTTGGGAAGGTCAAGTGATAGGTCAAGTGGTAGACATAGAAGCCCAAATAACAGTAGGGAAAGGACATTCCTAAATGAACGAAGAGAAGAAGCGATGGACATAGACCATCTGAGGCATAGGAGATGTTTTAAATGCAATCGAACAGGGCATAGGGCTAGAGATTGTAACATTCAAACTAGTCAGAGTGGGCTGCAAACGAGACGGGGGATTCATGCAGTGGTAGGGACAGGCCGTCCCCATTCCCCAAAACCAATAGTGTGTTGGTCATGCAACCAACCAGGACATGTCAAGAGAGAGTGCCCGAACAGACGAAGAGTGACTTTTGCCAACCTCAATGATAGAACTTTAAACTAGAACCTCTTCTCCACAAAGAAGCCACTGGGGAAGAGGATGAAAGAAAATACTCAATTAACCTGGCAGGAAGACCAAATTCATGCAGTGTTAAAATTGGTAAACAAAAGGTTAGATGTTTAATAGATTCGGGAGCAGAGGTATCGATAATACATAGGAGAATATTTGAATTAATTAAGGGATTTTGCAAACTTGAAATGAAAAAGATTTCCCTGCAGGGAGTTAATGGTAATGCTCTGGAAGTAGATGGCAGCGTCAATCTGACTTTCAAACTTAGGGGTGTTACTCTCAATCACACATTCTATGTGGTCCGGAACATGAACCGGAACATGATCCTTGGCCATGACTGGTTGACCAAGGCAGGTGTGAGGCTTTACTTTGATCTCGGTAGTTTAAGAATAGGCAAAACGTATGTCCCCTTGGAGGAGGACATTCACATTTCCTCTGTGGTAAGGTTGGCAGCAAACATAACTATAAAACCACAAAGCAAAAACGTTCTCAGAAGTAAAGTTAAGAATAGGGATGGCATGCAAGCTGATAGTGTGTATCAACTGACAGCTATTGATACTGGTTATTTGGCAAAAGAACCGGGTATCCTGGTTAGCAATTCCATTGTCAAGATAGATAAACACAGAAATGTCCCAGTCATGCTAGTAAATAATACCAACAAATCCATTAGATTAAGACGAGGTTGTGTTATGGGGAAATTGGAAAGCATTCCTTCAGAGAGCGTAATCAACATGTCAGACTTGCCGGACAATGACAGCATTACGAATGACAAGGACGTTGACATTAACGTGCCACCAGAACACAAGAGTAGTGTTTATGACGTTGTTAACTGTAACCGAGACCTTTTTGCAAAGAATGACATGGACTTAGGGCATACAGAAACAGTGAAAATGAAAATAGACACTGGCGATCATCCCCCGATTAGAATGAAGCCCTATAGAACGCCGTTAAACAAACGTCAGGTAGTTGATAAGGCAATTAATGAGATGCTTGAAGCTAAAATAATACAACGGTCGAGGTCACCATGGAGCTTCCCAATTGTAGTAGTTGATAAGAAAGACGGCAGCAAAAGATTTTGTATCGACTTCCGTGCATTGAACCGAATCAGCCGCCCGATTTCGACCCCGCTACCTCTGATCGATGACATCCTAACCCAATTAGGCGATTCTAAATACTTTACAACCCTGGACTTAAAGTCTGGATATTGGCAGGTGTTGATGGATGACAAGGACAAAGAGAAAACCGCATTTGCCTGCCATCGGGGACTTTTCGAGTTTTCAGTAATGCCATTTGGCTTATGCAATGCCCCCGTCTGTCTTTACGGAACTAATGAATGTCGTTTTAGAGGACCTTGAGGCTTTTGCAATTGCCTACCTTGATGATGTCCTGATCTTCTCTAAAACCAAGGAAGAACATCTGAAACACATTCAATTGGTCTTTGACAGGATCCGGCGACATTCTTTAAAATTAAAACTGTCAAAATGCTCATTTATGCAAAAGGAAACCAACTATTTGGGGTTCATCATCAATCAGGATGGGATCAAGCCTGATGAGAAAAAGGTTGAGGCGATCCGCTCCATGGAGGCCCCTGCCTCGGTTCGAGAAGTCCGCAGCTTTGTTGGTATGTGTAGTTATTATAGGAGGTTTATACCAAACTTCTCAAAAATAGCTGAGCCAATTGTGAAACTGACCAAGAAGTATGCCCGATTTGCTTGGACAGAAGAATGTGAACAGGCCTTTCAGTTCCTGAAAAGGAGTCTCACTGTGGTACCCCTGCTGACGTATCCAGATCCAAGCAGGCCATATGTACTTTACACTGATGCCAGCGATAGCTGCGTGGGTGCCTGCCTAGCACAACTACATTATGACGACAGTACATCTCCGGGAGTTGAGAAACCAATCCATTTCCTATCACACAAGTTGACAGATACTCAAACACGATGGTCAACGATTGAAAAAGAAGCATATGCCATTCATTATGCCTTGCAAAAACTTGACCATTATCTGCATAATGCCAAATTCGTCATCCGAACGGACCATAAACCTCTGAAGTACCTGCTGGAGTCGCCGATGCAAAATAAGAAGGTACAACTTTGGGCACTTGGAGTTGCAGGCTAAAACTGTGAGATTGAGTACATTGCAGGAACAACCAATACATGTGCTGATCTCCTGTCGAGAGTACCGACCAACCCGGGGGTTGATACCAATCCAGGGGAGGAAATTGTACTAGATGGCCCAAGCAATGCCCTTGAAATTAATGTCCTTGACTCAAGCACATTCTCAGCAAAGGAGTTTGCCAGCTGTGAACCTCAACAAAGCGAGACCCCTGACGTCCCCAAAACGTGCAGATTGGGACTGGACATGAGCTCAGAACAACTGAAGGACAGGAACATCCAAGACATTAAGATCAAGCTGGAAAAGGGTAGTGGAGATGAGTCATCATTGAGAAGGTTTCTACTTATAGGTGGGTTACTCTATTTTATGAGTGATGCGGATGATGAACCAGCTCCAAGATTATATGTGCCTGAACATCTTCAACAAGATGTAGTGACGCAATACCACGATGAGAATGGGCATATGGGAATTGACAAAACATTTGAGGCGATTAAGACCAAATATTATTGGCCGAACCTCTACAAAAAGCTGTATAGCTACATCACAAGGTGCATCACCTGTCAAGCTCGTATGATGAAAGCACAGAAGCCACCACTACAAGATACTGATATGCCACCCTATCCATTTGCCAAGGTGAGCATGGACCTTTCTGGCCCATACCCTACTTCCTTGTCTGGAAACAAGTATATCATTAGCTTTGTGGACCATTTCAGCGGTTGGCCCGAAGCATTTCCCGTCCCAGACAAAACAGCAGAAACCGTGGCCCACTTACTAATCGAGGAGATCTTTCCACGATTTGGTGCCCCACTTCAGATTGTCACTGACAATGGCACGGAAAACGTAAACAGGGTAGTTAGGGAGACCCTGGAGGCACTCGGGATACATCATGTGAAAACCTCGTACTATCATCCACAGGCCAACAGCCGAGTTGAGCGATTCCATCGAACCCTACACGATGTACTCGCTAAGAAACTGGACGACGACTTGACCAGCTGGGACTTGTACCTTAACCAGACATTGGCGGCCATAAGGTTCAACATCTGCGAATCATCGAAATTCTCACCCTTCTTCCTGTTGTATAACCGAGATGTCGTGTTACCTATTGATAACCTACTCAAGCCAAGAAGAAAGTACACTGGAGAAGACGAACACAAGATCGGGTTACAACAGCAACATAAATCCTTCGTACTGGTACATAGGAACATGAAGAAGGCTAAGCGCCGACAGAAAAAGTATGCTGACAGGAATAGGAAGCCAAACAAAATAAAGATAGGTGACCCAGTCTTCTACAGGCTCCACCAGAGAAAAAGCAAACTACAAAACAAGTGGAGGCCTTTTTACAGGGTCATAGATCAGACCTCTCCTGTCACCTATATAATCCGATGTCAGCTTGATGGATCAACCACAAAAGCCCATGCAGAGCACCTTAGAGTAGCTGAAATAGATGAATGGGACATCCCAAAAGATATCAGTGGCCGTCCTAAGAGAAAGACTGCCTACGTTGTTCCTCCCTCATCTGAATCAAGTTCAGAAAGTTCAGATGCTAAGACAGGGGATCCGTTAGCTAGAATTGCCAGACGATACCGCCAGGAAAGATCAGACTCTGAGGATGAGGATAACATCCCCCTGGCTGAGGTCGTTAAAAGGTTAAGGAGCAGAAGGCGAGTACAGGAACAGCTAATAACTGAAGATAGTGGCTCTGACCAAGGTTCTGATAATTCACAATCCTATCGCGAAGATGTAGTAAATGTCATTAGCTGCAACCCTGTCACAGCTAAAAGTGACGAAACAGATATAAAGCCTCGGCCTAGTAACCAAGTTAGGAAGTTACTAGAAGCAGTAGCCCAACTATTGTAAGGCTTCGCAATAGTGTGGACAGCTATGACCGCAATGTATATAATGTCAATGTTATATATATATACATAGATATACTTGTTTACTGGACGATTTCTTAAGACTGCTGACCTCAGTGCCTTTGTATATATGAAAGACTTATTCTGACTGTTGATGACAGTTTTGCCTGATAATGAATATATGTAGAGGGATATATATCAATCTGTTATCCTCTGGTTTTCAGAAAACACTATGGGTGTCCTAATTCTTTTAGTATATGTGGGTTTAGCCAGTGGTGCCATGATGTTCGAAAACATCATATTTCAGAAATTGAATGACGTAACGACCACCAGGTCTAAGTGGTTAGTCACCTTTGTTATAGACTTAAAACCTTACCAGTCGTATTTAACCAAATGTCAGACTGACATCAATGATGTGGCATTGATTATCCATAAGGTAATTAACAAGAACTATAGTGCTACTTATTCTGGAATAGAAAGCATGTTCGTGAAACTAGATCAGGAGATAGATAACTTAAACATCACCTTGAATAATCTTCGTGAAAATTTCTTAGAATATCATCACCTGTCGAGGCCTAAAAGGTCGCTCTTACTCTTTGTTGGTAAAGCATTAAGTTTCCTTTTTGGCACCGTTTCAGATGAAGACCTTGAAAGTATCAAAAGAAATGTACATAATTTAGCTACGAACCAAGCTCGTTTAGCACATGTAGTACAGGAAGGGTTAACTATTCTGAATGTATCCAGAGTCCAAATCGGAGAAAATAGACATGCCATTAACGAAATCGTAGATAGCTTACAACAAATCGACAACACGATCCAGAATGTTACCGACCATTTTCAAGTACGCATTGATAACATGGAGTGGGCTGTAAAGACTTATTTACAAATAGAACTAGTAATAGAGGAACTAAGACAAACGATAGAAACCCTTACAAACTATTTGGAACACCTTCATTTGCAATTGAATATGCTATCTCTGGGCCATATGTCACCTAGCACAATAACTCCCACGCAGTTACTAACTATATTAAGGGAGGTAAAGATTCATCTACCCCCTAGGTTCAAGTTAGCAGGTGACCCTGAAAACGAGTTATGGGATTTCTATAGGACTCTTAAATGTACCACATTACTTTATGACAACAAGATAGTCGTAGTTGTCTCTCTCCCTCTTTTAGATTTAGATGGTCATGTTGAGATATATCAAGCACATAACCTACCTGTTCCTATCCTGGCCAATGAAATTGACAACCCTGCCAATAGTCTCCATAATTTGATAGCTAAATACAAGTTAGAGGCTAGTTTAATAGCAGTTAATACCAAGCGCACCAAGTACATGTTGCTGAAAGACACAGAAAAACATGGGTGCACTGCGAGTTTGGTCGGTTATTGTCAAATTCAAAGTCCTGCATATCCCATAAATTTCAGTCAGTTATGTATAGTCTCTCTCTTTATGAAAAATGAACAGAAAGTAAAAAAGTTCTGTAGAACAGAAGTAATGCCTCAGACTATTTTACCTTTGGCTGAATATCTGACTACTGGGCAGTGGGTCATAGCAACGCGGGAAAGATTAGATTTCACCATAGTTTGTGAAAGTGACGTCAGACGACCTAGCGCCCTAACAGCACGTCCTCCCTTAGGTGTAATAAGGCTCGAAGAGTCATGTTCAGCGTCGAATGACTATTTGACTCTGTTGCCCTATTACCAAAATGAGAGCAGATATAGTTTTGAGGACAAATTTCTGAAACTGATAAATAGGCTGAATGTAACGCAAATGCTCTTGGTTGAACCCTTACAAAGAAAAACGTTTGATCTCAAAAAGGCTAGATTACCAAAGAAACTAAGATATCTCGATAAAATTCCAATGGATCACTTAATTGAACAATTAGAGTCAATGGGTACGATTGAGGAAATGGAGACTGGGAACTACTTATGGACCTTTGTTATGGTGGCATTATCAGTTACATTGATAATAGTGTTGGTTACTGTCTATTCAAAATTTATCAAACCCTGGCTTGCCAAAAGAATTAGGAGGGGAAAACACACCCATGTTGCTTCCGGGTTCGAGTTGGTGCCTGTTGAAACGGAAGGTGCGGTTACCACCGACAGGGAGCGGATAGCCTCTGCACCACTCGTGCCTGGAAGGGTGGACGGAACGGGAACCACAACGGTAGTGCGACAACTCTACCCAAGTCTGGACGTGACTGGATAATCACCACCCAGGAACGACGGCGGCAACGTGATCCAGACTGTGTTGTGTCCCGACGGGATGTCCAAGGACTAACTCGTGAACGACCAAGTTCGATTAAATTCCCCAGTGTGTTGAAACTGTGGGAATGTGAGTGAACTGTGTAAATATTTACCAACCCTTTCAAGGAAACTATAATTTTCCATTTGTGTACTATGGTGGACTGTAGCAACAATATACGGCTGAAACACAACGCAAGGACTATATAACAGTACAAGGAAAATGAAATTTTTCCTGCGAAAAATTTCAAAGTAAAGAGGGGCGAATGTAACACAATAAGCAGCATGCCGCTGTGTTGGCCCATGACACTAATCTAGTGAGACAGACGCACTATTTCTCTGCCACCTAGCTGACCGGTGCGTGTCTGGCTGAGAAACTATATTTCACTAAAAAGTCAGGACATGGTCTTTCGAACGCTTAAACAATGTCACACCAGACATTAACGAGGGAAGTGATTCATGTGGTGATTCAAATGCATCAGACACTAATCCAGCGTGACCGGTGTACTGCCCACTGTCCCTCCAGACTGACCGGGATATGACAAGTAGGAGACCATATCTCACTAGAAGTTAAAAACAAGGAGTTAAGAAAACTGACGTGAAACAACACACTGGACATTGGCCACGAGGATAATTAATCTAGTGGACTTAGCTGGATCAACCTGCCAGATTGTTTGTGGCCGGTATGACGTTTAAGAGAGGGGGGTACGCTGGTTAAAAAAGGCAACCAGGCCCCACTCTCAAGCAGAACCCAACTGACTCTCACAGACGACGCTACTGCCAGCTGAGAGGGACTCTCTGCCTGCCTCTACCTACAGCTGTTTGGACCCAGCCGGGACCATGCTGACCAGACCAGCCCTGTGGACTCTGTGATGGGACTGTGACTGAAATAAATATTTCAATTCCTTGCAAACCTTTTGTTGTCGCCTGTTTTACTTTGTTACAGTGAGCAACAATGATATTCCAACACTCGGTATATGACTGGTTTAACCATCTCTGGTAAAATAATGATATTGCATCCCTAAGCATTTCCACATGATATTTTAGTGAGATGGTAAAAATATACATCTTTACCAAGGAAGGAACTCGTGTACATCTGGTATTCTGTTTTCAGTGTAGTTTCGAATCACCACCAAAAATCGTGATATACTGCTCACACTTTGCTAAGGATCACAAACATTCCCAACTTTACTTAAACATAGAATGATAATTTGAAATTGTATCCATTTAAAACTGCATAAATAATGATATGATAACCCCTCTTTAGGCAAAAAGCGACTTATCTAACCTTATGCACTTGATACATGAGTAATCATAAAAATAGTTTTCATGGCACCAGTCAACCATTTTGCAAATCATGGAACGAGTCATTGACAAGTACACAACACCTGTCAATAGCAGGTATCGGATCCACAAGATGCAGTGATATACTGAAACCTAGGACCCATGCTTACAATAAGCTTAGATATTTAAACCAAATTAGACCCCACAATAGTTTTCTGTTGAATCAATGATTTGATCCTTAGCAAAGTGTGAATAGTATATATAACAAGAAGCGGACATGTATTCAGCTGAAAATGTTTACCGACTGTAATAGCTATCAACACTCACACCAGCTTTCCGAGCATACCTTCAAAACACATTTTAGCTCCTGTATGTGGGTGGCAAGTGTAGTGATTGTGGTCAGGTGTGGCCTTGCAATATTTCTCGCACGTAGATCCGTACCAGTCCGGGTCGCAGTAGGCACGAACCTCAATCTTTAACCTGGAAATAAAACACTCAATACATTTCAGTTTGCCATCTGGTATATCATCTGCTGTGAGCATCAGTTTATAAAAATACCTTATGGTGTGCATTAGATTCGGGTTACAATTGGTCTTCAGTAACCCATGCTTGTCGTAACAGGCGATTAACGCGATCTGGTGTTCAGGCTCGCTGACTTTGTTGACACATGTCATCGTATCCCAAATGTCTAGATCGATGTTCATGATGTTGATCACTGGATTGTCTGGTCCAGACTCGATTATTTACAGACAGCCGCCATATAGCTGGAATACTGCTGAGTGCGGATTTGAACAACAAACCAAAATCTTGATATTTATGACATAGTATGACCACTCACAATGTGGTTCTAATTTGATAACAAATTGAATATGAAACCATCCACACGCCGGTCAGTTGCATTACAGAAGGAATTGTGAGAAGTTAATTAAGTTTAATGCTTGAATGTATCATACGAGGATTTGTATTGTGTGTTAATAGGCTCTAAAGCTTATTTTCTATTCACTTTGTGCAGTTAACGTCTTGATGGAGGACCAAATTACAGTCGCCAGCACTGAGACAGTCGGGTAAATGATAGAAGCATTTACGGTCAATATAAAGAGACCATTTTATCTAAATCCCTAGATCTAGAACATAAAGCTTTTAAGTGTCCATCGAAACAGTAACTAGACTGAAAACATAAACGTTCCTCATTTACATAAAATATATCAGGCACCATCTGGGGATTTTCATCACTAAACAGTCAATATTAAATACATTCCTGTTTCAGAAATATGGCTGTGTCTATATCTAGCCTTTCGCCATGAATTAAACGTTCTTTTGGTGCTGTTAAAATGGCCATGTGATTTTATGCATTCATGCGAGGACTATTCTGGTGCAAGACGATGATGACACAAACCCAATAATTTTATATTCATATAAGAGTTGCAGTCTTGTCCTTTGGAAGTATTTATGACGTTTTTATTGATCTCTCAACTTGATTCATCCCAGATCTATCACAGTCTGACTCACTTCGTCCTTCCCCACACAGTGTATGGGGTGTACACAGCTTCCTGTTGTGTAGCAGCGGCTTGGATGTTGATCAGCTTAGAGAGTGTGTCCATGTGGTCATCACTGGAGATGTCATCGCTGTCATACACTTCTACCGTTATTTCTATCGAGGACTGAAAAAAAAAGAAAATATACATATTCAGTACGGCATTGCAGTTTAAGCCACATAGCAATATTCCAGCTAAAATTACATCTTATGTAAATGATCCATTCACAAGACAGATAGTTCGTTATTCTCTGAGTGAGTGAGTTAGGTTTTACGCCGCACTCAGCAATATTCCTGCTATAAGGCGGCGGTCTGTAAATAATCGAGTCTGAACCAGACAATCCAGTCATCAGCATCATGAACATCGATCTACGCAGTTGGAATACGATGACATGTGTCAACCAAGTCAGCGAGCCTGACAACTCAATCCTGTTAGTCGCGTCTTACGACAAGCATGGGTTACTGAAGATCAATTGTAGCCCGGATCTTCACGGGCTCTATTTCTCTGCATTAGTCCGTTGTTTAACAAGACCATGCTATTTCGCGACTCCTTGTTAAGGTTGAGTTTCTGTCACACATACCGGTACAGGATACTATAAGTCAGATAATGCCGGTGCTGTTTTAGCTTCAAATTTCGGCAACAAACCTACCGGTACTGCTGTGGGTGCATGTATGATGAAAGGATTTGGTGTTCCTTGAATGTTACTTCCAAAGTGGATTATGTTGTGGTTGTCTATGTAGCTTGTGGCGTTCTTGTAAACAGAGCAAGGCTTTCTTCCGTCAGGGCTGGAATAATATAAGATCGTTGTATAGCGCACATCTACAGGAAACACTACCAATTATAATGCCACACTGTATTTATTAGATATACCACGCATCTGCCAACGTCGACCTCGTCTGGCCCATCTCAATCGACGACGTCTGTTTTGCAGAGTCAGATGCACTCCGCGTTCGGGTAGACGTGCTCGAAAACCATATTCTCACAGTCACCGGTACAGTGTATGTCGACAGATACGGTGTCCTAGTGCCGTCGCTGCCGTTGATGACGCCGTTACAAAACTATTTCTCACATAAATTGTCAGGATGTGGCGATCATCACCGGGCGTTGTCACATGTGGTCGACCACTCCTTGGCCTGTCTGACGTATTGCCTGTTTGTTTTAGTCGCTGCATCTTAGTCTGATGACAGTTGCTTGGGTTCAGCCGAAGGTTCTACCAATGACGATGTGGATATTTCCTTGTCACATTTCTTTTCCTTTTTACTACTTGGTTCCTTGGTGATGCGTAGGCTGTTTTATACCGTTAGTATGCACGTTCATTTCGTCATACATCAGAAATTGTCGTTTGGGTTTTTTGTGACATTTATGCGATTCGTTAACTGTTTTCGCCGTTTGTTCCTGGAAAGGATGGGTCTGTACGTGTTTGACATGGCTCAGTATGGTTTTATCACTTCATTTTCATTTTTGTGAATTTTTATGTAATATTTTGCGATGTATACTTTCTTTTGGGCAATAGAATGATTTTCAAACCAAATGTATTGGCGTTACATGCATGATTCCGCACTTTCTATTGAAGTCAAATAAGGGGTGGTGTGGTTCTGGTACTGATAGTTTAATTTTGTACAAACCTTTGCTTACAGACTAGTTTTAAAAATATGTGATAATCTAGATGTAATCCTGTCATTCGATGACACCATTTTAAAAATTCTCTTTAGATTCATTCTTAATTTATGAGTTCCTGTTGTCACAATATGGCTGAAATATTACCGATGTGACGTAAAATTTAAACTCACTGTCTCAAAATGTGTTTCCCTTACTAGTATGTTTTGTTATTGAAAGAGTAAACGTTCCTCACCCATCAATGCAAATGGTAAACTTAGGGTCGCACTTGTCATTACACCACACGCGTAGATGATTGTCACAACACTTCCCACTGATTTCCTTGCCATCCGACCAGTAACTGATGAATCGAATGTCCAGTTTGCCGTCAGTCTTCGCACGCTGTCGAAGCAAGAAGATAAGAACCACACATGTGTTTAAATTTTATAGTTAGACCACAAATTCCAATTTAATTATGTATTACTTGTCTGAGAAACATAAACAATTCAAAATGATTGTGCTCAATAGATTTTCGGGAATTTTTTTTACGATGATACGTATTGAGGAAATGTCTTGTTTGTTTTATTCAGTGTAAAATGTTTACACAAAAAAAGCAATACACATTCTTACACTATAGAGTGAGCGAGTGAGTGAGTTTAGTTTTTTAAGCCGCTTTTAGCAATATTACAGCAATATCACGGCTGGGGACACCAGAAATGGGCTTCACACATTTTACCCATGTGGACAATCGAACCCGGGTCTTCGGCGTGACGAGCGAAAGCTTTAGCCACGAAGCTACCCCTCCGCCTACTTAAACTTTAGAACTTTATGATGTTTACAACAAAAATAATCTGTGAAATGTGGAACTTCCTCATTGATATTATACATGTGTAATTTGGCAATAATGTGAGAGAGTTTAGTTTTACGCAGCACTCAGCAATATTCCAGCTATATGGTGGCGGTCTGTAAATAATCGAGTCTGGACCAAACAGTCCAGTGATCAACATCATCAGCATCGTTCTACGCAATTGGGATACGATGACATGTGTCAACCAAGTCAGTGAATCTGACCACCCGATCCCATTAGTCTTTTCTTACGACAAGCTGGGGTTACTGAAGATCAATTGTAGCCCGGATCTTCATGTGTTGAAATTTGGGGATGAGACAAAGATTTTGTGAAAATAACATATTATAATCAGAGACATGGTTACTGGAATCTTGATGTGGTGAATGATAGAAGGTTTAAACTATCAGAATGAGTGACCATATAGTGACAATATACATGTCTCTTCGTTCATTAAATAACACTTCACTGTCCCTTTAATGCCATCACGTCAGAAATTTACTAATAAATTTACTGCCTTCCACGTCGATAACATCTGTGTAACATTTGCGGATAAGACATAAACAGTGAGTAAACTGTGCTTCCCTTCCAGCTAAAGTATGTCTCTTTATGCATATCAATTGGGAATACATGGAAATTTGGACTAGCATTTTAACGAAAGTTTCAAGTATATCGGTAATCTGATATCGTTCAGTTTTTGCCTAAAATCAAATTCCCTTCCACTGATTTTGCCAACAAAACTAAACACAAAATATAATCATGAATTGTAATTGATAGTTACATAGCAATACGGAAAGAAAAAAATAAACGAAGACTGTCTTGCAAGGGGAATGATTTCAAGGTTCCAGCAGTCAGCCCTCTTTACGTGGGCAATATTCTAACATGTGATCAGTAACCATATCACGAAATGGACATTTTCACAGTGTGATATATGGAAGCGTGCACGTGTCTATTGACGTTAATGAGTGAGTGAGTGAGTGAGTTAAGATTTTAAGTCACATCGGCAATATTTCAGCCATATCGTGACTAAAGCAAGTTATAAATATATCAACAATTTAAGTGAAATTATAAAATTCTGCCGACGAAGGACAGTAAAATAACTAGATTATCACAGATAAAGATATAAAACTAGCGAACAAAGCTAAAATATTCCAATTAAAGAAGACAATACAATGTAAAAAATGGGCTATAGATCGCCAACAACTGAAGGTAGATCACCATACTAAGGCCCATGGGGGCTTACATTACTTTTGCTACCTGCATGGACCCTAGCTGGATTTACACCATCCCTTCAGCCATTGGCGTTTATACTGAGATTTAGCCATACATAAAAATGACAAAAATACTACGATTAAAAACCTGGTAGGCTGAAATTTACTTGAAATGTTTTGGGACTTACGTACCCTCTCAGGAGGACAATAATTTTACGCTACGTCAACCCCCTTTGAGGGCACAGCCACTAACAATCTAAGTTAACAATCTAAACTACAAATCATTAAAATACATCTACTTACAGAGCATATTAATCAAAAATCAGTGATCAAATCAATTTCTTTTAAAAAACCAAGAATTAAATGAACATGAACAGTGTTAAAAAGATCCTTAACAGTTTTAACATTAAAATATTTATCCCTTATGATGGAGAATTCGACACAGTCAAGCAGGAGATGCTTGACTGTGACTTTCTCATCACAAGGGATACAAAACGGAGGATCTTCACCTTTCAACAAGTAGTTGTGAGTATACCTTGTATGGCCAATGCGACATCGTCGCATAATGACCTCTTCAAATCTGGACTGACAACCCAAGTGAGTGTAACCAATATAAGGTTTTATTTCATGTAGTTTATTAATACCTACTTGAGTGTCCCACTTCTTCTGCATCAGATCACGGATGTAAGATCTAATGCAAGCTTTGTAATCAGAGTATGGGAGAAGAAGTGGTGTCACAGATTTGTTGAGTGCTGCCTTGGCAACAAAATCGGCCATTGTATTACCAGAAATGCCAACGTGGCTGGGTAACCAACAGAGGACGATGTCGTATTGGCCAGTTGCAAGATCATTATATAATTCTATAATTGCTATTAAAAGCGGATGTTTGCAAGAAATATTTTTAATCGCCTGAAGGCAAGAAAGAGAGTCAGAAAATATTATATATTGTTTATATTTAGGGTGTCTATTTATATATTTAAGAGCTGTTAGTATTGCGTTTGCTTCTGCTGTGAAAATTGAACTGTCATTGGGTAATCTGGAAGATATTGTTTTGGACCCAATGACAGTGGGACAAGCAACCGCGCCACCATCCTTGGACCCATCTGTAAATAAGGATTTATATGTATTATATTTACTTTTTAATTGATTATATTCTTGTTTATATTGCAATTCATTAGTTTCTGCTTTCTTAAACTTAGTCAGTGTCAGGTCGACCTGTGGCCTAACCAATTGCCAAGGAGGAGAAGAAAGAAGACGGGAAGGAGATATATTCTCCAGCTCAATGCCGGCAGCAGAAAGGAATGGTTTAATTCTGTGCCCAAGAGGCGGAACAAAAGAAGGCTTTTTGTTATACAAATCCTCATAAAGAGGAGTGAAGATGCAGTGAAACGCAGGATTAGACTCGTTAGAATATAGCTTGGTAATATACTGGAATGATAATTTTATACGGCGTTGGGTAAGAGAAGGCTCATCTGCCTCGACGTAGAGACTGTCAACAGGAGATGTTCTGAAGGACCCAAGACAAAGTCTCAGACCTTGATGGTGGACTGAATCTAAGAGTTTTAGGTTGCTTTTGCAGGCTCCACCATAAACGATGGAGCCATAATCAAGCTTCGAGCGGACAAGTGATCTGTAAAGGTGTAGGAGCGTAGCTTGATCCCCTCCCCACCTTGAATTAGACACGACTTTCAATAAATCAAGTGCCTTCAGGCATTTAGTTTTGAGAGATTTGATATGCGGAAGAAAAGTTAAATGGGAGTCGAAAATGAGACCTAAGAACTTGGCCTCTTTTACAACCTTGATGGGAGTGCCATTTAAAAACAGTTCTGGGTCTTTATGTGGTTTATATTTTCTACAGAAGTGTATGCAATTAGTTTTGGATTTAGAAAATTTAAATCCGTTTTCAAGACACCATTTATGTATTTTATTTAAACACAACTGTAGTTGCCGTTCAATAGTATGCATATTCTTACCGCGACAAGAAATGTTAAAATCATCCACAAAAAGTGATCCATCAATGGAATCGTTTAAAACCTTGGATAAACTGTTGATCTTAATGCTGAATAAAGTGACAGACAAAATACTGCCTTGTGGTACACCCTGATCCTGATTGTAATGGTCAGACAGGGTTGAACCCACTCGGACTTGAAATTGCCTGTCTTTTAAAAACTGTGATATAAAAAGAGGTAAACGACCCCCTTAAACCAAAATCATTTAAATCCTTTATAATGCCATGCTTCCAGGTGGTGCCGAGATCAAAGAATAGCGATACTGCATGTTGTTTATTGACTATTGCATTTTTGACAAAGGATTCTAATCGTACCAAATGATCAATGGTACTACGATTTTTCCTGAAACCACATTGAATATTTGTTATGAGATTATTGGTTTCAAGATACCATGTCAGTCTATTATTTACCATTCGTTCCATGGTTTTACAGACACAACTCGTTAAAGAGATTGGTCTGTAATTTGATGGATCAGTATGATCCCGGCCGGGTTTTGGAATGGGGACGACAATGGCATTACGCCATGAAGTTGGGAAATTCCCTGAAGTCCATATTGAATCAAAAATATTTAGCAATGTTTCCAAACATGGTTCGGGCAAATGCTTCAGGAGCTGATAGTGGATATCGTCAGCCCCTGTTGCGGTATCATGAGCTTGCTCAAGGGCGGTATGTAGCTCATGTATTGAAAATAATTCATTATAATCTTCACCATTGTCTGAGTTAAAATGTAACCTTTTCTTCTCCTGTTGTTTCTGAAAGTTTTGAAACTCAGGGACATAATTGGATGAAGATGAGTGCTTGGCGAGTGTTTCACCAAGTTTATTGGCAATATCAGTTTTATCAGTTAATAAATTATCACCATCCTTCAGATGGTGAACAGTAGATTTAGAACCTTTGCCCTTTATTCTCTGAATCATGTTCCACACCTTTGACATAGGTGTGCGTGAATTTATTTTAGAAACATAAGTTCGCCAAGACTGACGCTTATTTTGTTTAAAAGCACGTCTAGCCTTAGCATTTAAAATTTTAACTTTGTCTAGATTATGGACAGTAGGATGTCGGCGAAAATACTTTTCAGCTTTCTTCCTACACTTTCTGGCCTGTTTACAGTCATTATTGAACCATGGCTTACGAAGGTGTGGAATTGCAGAGGACTTTGGTACAGTTTGGTCAGCAATGTTGTTCAGTATATCTGAAAATAACTGTATAGGATCTTCGCTGTTCGCAAAAAATGTCATGTTTTAAGTGATCAGTACATAGTATCTGATACAATGACCAGTTAGCCCTGGCAAAATTCCGTCGTGATAAAGGTGGATCATCACCAGGGTTGACCGCTTTGAGAATGGTGGGGAAGTGATCACTCCCACACAGGTCATCATGTACCCCCCCACTCAAATTCATTATATACGTTGGAATCGGCGAGTGATAGATCCAGGGAAGAATATGTTCCTGTAGCTGGATGTAAATAAGTGGCTGAGTCATCATTAAAAATACATAAATTATTATCGGAAATGAATTCCTCAAGGATTTTACCTTTTGTATTAGTATGGTCACTTCCCCAAAGTGGGTTGTGACCGTTCAGATCGCCCATGATGATACATGGCTTCGGAAGCTGGTCATATAGGTTTTTAAGATCCGACTGTCTAATATCAGTAGAGGGAGGAATGTATAAACTGCACAGAGTCAATGCAATATGCAGGGTGATGCGAACAGCAACAGTTTGAAGATTTGTACTAAGAGGAACAGGGCTGTGTATTATCCCTTGCCGTACCAAAATGGAAGCACCTCCAGTTGCTTTGTCTCCTGGAGGAGAGAAAGAGTGATAATCACTATACCGTCTCAGAATAAAGTTATCGGTATGTTTTAGATATGTCTCTTGGAGACATATAGCTGACGGTTGAAAATCCTGTGTTAGTAATTGAATCTCGTTGAAATTATGTTTGAGTCCTCTGCAATTCCATTGAATTATAGTGGACAATTGAGTCATGGTGCCTCAATTGGTGATCGTCCGCGTGAATGTGAGGAAGTGGAGCTCCTCCGTGTGTCCTGAGTGGACGGTGACACCTCCATATCTAGAGGTTCAAAGGGGTTCTCAAAAGGAACCTCTGAAGGTATTGGGACAGTTGGTAATTGTTGTTTCCTGTTGAATTTTTTTTCCTTTCTTTTTGGGCAAATGACCAGTGTTTGACTGTTGAGCTGACGCTTGTGATGTCTCTGGCTGAGTCTTAGTCTGAGAGTCTGATAAAGACTGAGAGACAGATGAAGTCTGAGATCCAGATGAGGTCTGAGAGGTAGATGGAGATTGAGTGGCTCGGGATGTCGAGGGTAAGGGTGAAGAAGAATTCATGGGCTTCTCTGACTTGACCCAAGTCAGATCTGTTTGACAGGTAACAGAGGATGTCATTACAGACCGAGTTACTGCAGCAGAGTATGACGGATGTAATGGAGTCTGATTCTCACTTTTAAAGAGTTTTTTTAGCGTCAAGGTATGGGATGTTCTTTTCACACTTCAGCTTCATTATTTTTGATTCCGTTTGCCAAACGGGACAGGATTTGGATGAAGAGTCATGTGGACCAGAACAGTTTGCACATTTAAACTCTTTGTCACAGTCTGCGTGTTCATGATTGTCACCACAGCGATGACACACCACAGAGCCACGACAAGAGTTGGATCCATGACCAAATTTCTGGCATTTATAACACCGGAGTGGACTGGGGACATACACATCCACTCCGATATTAAAGTATCCTGCCTTAATTGACTGTGGTAAAGATGCACGGGCAAACGTCAAGAGATAGGTATTTGTTTTCACAAGGGTACCCTCTCTCTTGACGGTGAAACGTTTTACAGCGGTTACACCTTGATCTACAAGCTCTGCAGCAATATCATCCTCTGACATGTCGAACAGACAGCGAGCTCTGTCGCGAATGATTCCTCGACATGAATTTAATGTTCTGTGCACAGACACAGCAACCTCAATATTGGCAAAAGTTGTGATGGACAAAAGATTGAGAGACTGCTGTCTCCGTGCACATTCCACCAGAAGTGAACCACTACGGAGACGGGTGACGTTCTTAACATCTCCACAAATTCCAGAAACAGCCTTAGATATCGCAAAAGGATTTAGTTTTATAGGCAGAAAATCAGTTGCCTCAATCACAAGGAAACGAGCCCATGAGTCAGAATTCGAAGAAACAGTTTTTTGAAGGGTCATCAACATGTTCGAAACGTCGCTTTTTTTTTCGTTTCGCAATGAACCAGATGGAGTGGGATCCATGATAAGTGTAAATAGATTCAGCACCACTGCTCCCCACCCACCACGGAGTGTCAACAAGGACAGTGTCAAATAGCACCGGAACTCCTAGATGCTGACACCAGGGATACAGTGGCGTTATACTCCAGAGACAAAGACTTGAAAAGCTATGGAAAACTAAAAGAATAAATGCCAGGCTGGTTCGGCCCATGACACCATTCCCAAGAATCACAGATTCCAGAGGTCTATTATCGCCAGATTGGCCCATGAGCCACCGCCTTCTGGCATAGGACTCTAGGCAATTTAAAGTAATAACATTTCAAACACATTAGATCCAAAAAATCCAAGACCCAATGATTATATAATGTGCAATATAGTCACCACGCACAGGGCTTGGCGTGACCAGCCGATTGATGGAACCGGGCCAGTTCCACCACCCGTCTAGGTGAAGTAAGGGCCGAAGTGGTGTGTTGGGCAACAGGAACACGGTTCCAGGATCCTATTGCCCTCAACCACCAGAATCCCGTCCTCCACCGACACAGGGGCGCAACCCACGGCAAACGGGTTGGTGGACCTAATATCCCCCCGGGTCCACAACAGGGGTTCGAAGGGAGCTTAGCGTTACCCAGCACCCACCACGAGGAGGTGGCCCTTCATGGGTGCCTTGACGTTAATGGCTACAAGACGGCGGTGATAAAAGTATTAAGTACCTACCCTTGTTATTAACAGCCACAGAAGTAAAGTCACCCCTTGACGTCCTCCCGTCGTCTTCATCTTCAAAGTGGTTAAGAATAAGCTTTGCCACCGGCATCGGGTTTGGATTGTGTATCAAACACACCATACAGCTGAATGACTGATCTAACATGCTTTCGCCACTTCCTGTTAATTGCTGTGACTCGTTTGTATTCTAGTTTCACTTCTGTTTCGATTTGATTGTTTCATACGGACATCCATAGCGTGAGTCAATGTTATGTTGCATATAGCAAATATTCCAGAGGAACGTGTAAATAGTATAGGTAAATAATATAATTTAGTAAAACAAATCGAGCCTACATCACACAAACTTGTGATACATTTTGTGAGGGTCTTTTTGTTAAACTGCTTCGACTCGTTTTTATTGTAGTCTTTATTCACTTGTCTACATTGTCAGGTTTAGATTTGATTGTTTATTGCGGAAATATAACGGAGTGAGTCAGTGTTGCGTTGCAGTCATTTGGATATCAGTTACTAAGTATTTAAGAGAAACGTGTAAATAATAATTGTAAATATTATTTTGAGTAATGTAGTAAAAGGTTCACATCGAAAAAAGCTTTAAGCTGATATAGTAAGGGTCTTTTTCACGCGGCCTCCTTACCCACCAACTGAGATTGACCACGTCTCCGATCCATTTAGTCGCCTCTATCGAGAACCATCCAGTGCTTGGAGCTCATCTTGACCATAGTCCTTATGAAGCTATGGTAATAATTGTACCTTTAAAACATCTGGCTGACAAAACAATGACGATACTGGTAGTGACCAGGAACTAGGTCCAAATATAGAGTAATATTGGCAGGTATATCGTGTATAAACATAACGTGATGATTGAGTGTTTCTGTTACTTTTATTTTTGAATATTACATCAATTTCACATAAAAACAGCTTAGTGCAAAATCAGAAGGGTATTTTTAGTATATTACAAAATCTAGTTTCAAACAGGATATAGTGCCCGTCGTGAACACTGGTCACGGATATGAAAGGGAAACATGGATTCCTACATACAAGGAAACATTATACAAATGAATACACACATAATATCTGGACATGTACAAAACATCCTACTGCTATGTTTTAACTGTTTTCAGTTAATTATATGTTACAGTAGAAATGTTCAAGTATTCGTTTCAATATACCTTTTTCCAAAAAAGACGTTCTCTGACATTTTCCTTGACTTAGTTATTTGAGGAATACTAAACAACTCCAGTCTGTGATAGAAAAAAATGTTAGTTTCATTTTCCAGTAATTCTACACGGAAAACGAGGAAACCTCATTAACAAGGGTTGAACAAAGCAAACATATGTACATGAGGATGAAACTTTAGCACACGTCCAGTTTTGTTGTAGAGAACGGCTGAATGAATGAATGAATGAAAATGTGTTGAACAAAGACTTATGTACATGTTGAAACTGTTTGGAAATAGACCTTGTGTGCTTCCTCAGTAGAGATGTACTTCCTGTAGACTTGACATAAGCAGATCCGAAAGTGTAGCAGGAAATATCAAAATCAACTTTTACCACTGTGGGTTCTTTTAAGTGCACAGGGATGTGTACTGTACACTAGGGGTTGTGAAAACACTGAAGGAGTCAGTACACAAAGTTGACTCCAAGGTGTTTACACCCGGTCACAGGTGGGCCGATCCCGACACCTCAAGCTCGATGGATCACTAGCCTGGCGCTTTAGCCAGCTCGCCCACCGCTGTTAAATCTACGTATATTCTCCTATGACATTACTTTGTGCACGTGGTGAGTGTTGAGAATTCGATTAAGTCAAATGTCAATGGAAAACGGATAATAGCCAACAGAGAGTAGAATGAATGAATTAATGAATATGTACTTATTGAAAGTGGATTGAACAAAGCAGGCACATGTACATGTGAATGAGACTGTTTGGCATTTTACCAAGTTTGCCTTCAAAGTTGAATTATACTTCCTGTAGACTGGGCTTCAACAGAACCGGAAGTGTAGCAGGATATCTCAATCACAACTCTTACCGCTGTCAAATCTACCTATATTTTCCTATAAGAGTATTTTATGTAAGTGACGAGTGGTTAGGATTCGATTCAGACAAATGTCAATGGAAAAACGGCTGAGTGAGGCGTTTAACAGCAAACACGAACACATCTTTATGGGTACCAACATTTCTACTGGTATACATCACAGGTAACGAAGGTTTACTACATATACAACTTGTTTCCAAAATGCTGTGGACACACGAACGAGACTGAACCGCACATCACTATCCTGACCAAAATATATCACGTCATATACATTTATGTAAATATGTTCAAGGAGCAATTCTAACGTCGTGTCACTGACACGGGTAAATACAAAGGGGAACTACTATCTAAAGTTTCATTTAATCCACAAAACCCTTTGCACGTCCAGGAGAATTTGTGCCGGGATTGGGGTCGATTGCACTACTACTTCTTCTAAAATGTGTATTGCAGTCAGAGAAATGAGTACATAGTACATAGTACATAGTGCAAATGATAGCTTATGCTTCAATACCTTTTAACCTTTGCAAACACCTTATTAAAACTGTACGTCCTCTTAATGATGTTCCTTCGTTGCCCCATCTACATTAACGTAATTGATGACAGCGTGGTCATCGGATCCTTTCTGGCAGCAACTACCAAGTGTTGCATAGCTGCTGTTGTCTGGTGTAATTGTAGCTAAACGAGAATAATGGTTCTCGCCATGAAGCGTGTCGTGAATGGGTTGGACGTAGGAAGTGACCTCTTGACGCGAGCTGTGTGTGGATCCGTCTGTGGATGCTCTTGCGTCCTCCTCACAGCCTGTGGTACGTCTGTGCTGGTCCTGCACGGTCCTGTTTACTACATCCATTTCGATGATGTTTCCCAGGTTGTCTTCAGGCAATTGTCTTGATTCGTGCCTTAAACGAAAATCCAACAATTTCATATGTTTAAAGACGCGAAGAGTTGGTTCAGTTTTCCTTTCTGGCGTTTCTGCTTACACCTTAACTACAACATGACTTGCGTTTTGAGAAACGGATAAAAACAAAAAATATTGTTTGACAATATTTTTAAACATTAGGCCTCAAGAGTAAACGTGTAATAATATGAACATTTAATTATTGAGATAATTAATGTCAAATGCTGTTAATACCCAACCCAGACACAGTACTTACGACTTTCTCCTCCACATGAGGAATGCTACACACAGTGCCACCAGCACAAGTCCAGCAGAGAGAGGTCCAACCACCTTGTACCAGTTACTCTTGAACCAACTTCCCTGTTGTAACAGACACGTGGATGTCAGATAGATATCACATCCACGTCACATGCACACACAAATCCAAAATGTCAGTTCCTTAATGTCGCATATATCACACATATATTTTCGGACGGACGAGACTGAAGGGAGAGTATGCATGGAGAAATACAGTTGATCAATTTGTATATAATGCATTTATGATAACAGTCATAGAAAAAATATTGTCACCTGACTTGAATGCATTTTACCTTTGCTATACAAAGACATAATTACATGACGTTTACGTGAAGTCATTGCAATATTTTTAATGTTAATCACACAATATATTTATATAACCCGGCATCAACAACGTGCGACAACCTCCGTTATCTTTTCTTGGTCATCTGTGTCCCTCGCTGGGTAGAGGGGAAGGGGGAGGTGTTGGTTGATGTCAGCATCACTGTTTGATGAAAAGATCTCTCTTATAAAGTCACTCGTTAGGAAAGTACCATTTTCTAGTGTCACATAAAACTGGACCTGCGTTTTGATATTTCTGAAATTAGAATTAGAACTTGTTAATATAAAACTGAGTTTATTTCATGGTATATTTTAAACAGAAAGAATAAATCTTGGTGGGGCTATTGAATAAAACAATGTTTATTAACTCTTAAGTCCTCATTAAATGGTTTCAAAATGTTGTTTGCTTCAAATACATAGCATAATGAGTATATTCTGAATTAAACCCTGATACACTCGAGTTTGGAAAACATCCGAGGGCGTGAAGGTATGGAGGTGTCCAGAAGTCATTGTGGAATAATTTGAAACACCTTTGATAAACATACATGCTTTCACTGTTGATATGTGTTGAGACCACGACATTCACTTGCTCCTCTATTTCTCCCAGATAATTCATGATTTTCCTCAAGCCGGTGGTCAGACTGCCTCTATTGTTATCATCAATCACTCCAAGGACGGTGATGTTGGTAATATCTTAAATTATATACAGGAAACAACAGTGTTCTTTATTTGTTGATCATTGCCCAAGACAAAAGGAATAACTGTCTTATAAAATCTAGGGTGTTGGAAAATATACAGCATATGCTTCATAAAAGATAATAACCTTTCCATTATGTAAATATGTAATTGTTTCAGAAAAACACAATGAACATAAATTATCATATTAAGACAAGTCAAGCGAAGAATAACTAAAACATTACGGGACAAAGTATAAACTACAAATACCTTATTCACTTACCAACATTCATATCACACGTTTCCCCAGTCCATGGAAAATCACAGTCACATTTGAACCGTGCTGGGGTCTCGGGTTTAGGAATGCAGTTTCCCCAGTCACAGGGGGCGCTGTCACAGTTTATCCGCTCTGCGCATGTCTCTCCAGACCACCCGAAAGGGCATGTGCAGCAAAAGTGTGTTTCGTTTCCATTACAGGTCCCTCCGTTCAGGCATTTATTCAGGGCACAGTGGTTAGTTACAAGTTCACAATTCCTCCCTGAAACAGATACTGTTTGTTATTGGTTGGTCTCGCTCCAATTCGATTGGTTAATGGGTAAACCTATTAAGTCTACATGTGACATTATCATTACTTTTGTATCTTGATGTATACTCTAGTACCTTCAATCTAGTATGCGAGAATGCATGTGTGCCACTAACTGTCTATTCACCTGTGATTCCCTCCACACAGTGGCACTCAAAGCTTCCAGGTTTGTTTGTGCAGCTGCCATCATGTTGACACAAGTCCACTCTTTCAGTGCATTCGTCGACGTCCTGATCACAGTTATCTCCCTTCCATCCTGCAGTAAAGATGACATTCTTCATCCAGTTTATAACAGATATTTGTGAAAATACCACACAAAGTTCAACAGCTCTGTTCTCGTATTTGAAAGATAT